GCGTGGCGCATCCTGTCCACTTATTACCAGAACCTGCCGCAGGCGTAACCCGCTGCCAACAGACGACCAGCAACGTGCAATTCCTCCTAGTTATAGCTTATGTGCTTATTATACATGTTCCCACTATATGCCCAGCTTATCACTTTACATATTGTCTGTCCATCGTTATTAACCCAAATCCGGGCCAGTCCCTGTGTGTGTGAATGTTGTGCTCCTCCTAATTAAATGTTCGTATCGTACAATCTACTTGTATCTACACTTAAGTCACCAATTCTCTGTTTATCTTAAGCAAAATGTCGTGCTGCTATTTTGTGGACGGTTTTTTAAATACATATATAAATAATTATTTAGTATCAGCATTTACTTATTGAACTGATTCCTCATTTTAGCAATTTCAGCATTTGGGGAACTACAAACCTAAAGTAATTTTATGGTTGACTGGCATAAGATAGTAGCTGCTAAAGAGCTGAACTTCAAGGCTAATAAAGTTTTGAAGAAACATTGAAATTAAAAGCATATGAAGATATTTCAAGAAGAAAGAATCGGCACGGAGATGCAAACAAAGCATTTTTAATCCCAAATCCTTAATTTTATATTAACCGATCATTCTTATCCGATCATAATTTGTTTCTGCAAAATACTAAAAGAGATGATTTAAATATTTTAACAAAAACACCCATCGGCAAGATACAGTATTGTTTTTAAACATTTTTCGAACGATCGTTGGAAGTACCGAGACTTTTAACAGATCTATGCATGTTAACAGACTGATAGCAGCTGTTAATATTTCTCAGTGACAAAAGCTCCTCGCTACGAAACTGTCTTTAGTAATCCATCTTTAATAAAAACCAGTTTTCTTTGGTTTTGCACATGATTTATTTTTATAAAATTGTATACGTTTAATCATTAATATTACAAGTAATTAATTAATATCAAATATGCAATTAGTTATCATTTAATTTCACATAATTTATTTTACTGCGCTGTGTATGTGTTCATAATTGTTTATTGCAGGGTCCGAAAATTATAATTATTTGCGATTTTAATTTTTAAAAGACTAGTGTGGTTTTTACTTTAAATCTCCAAAAAGATATTTAATTTTTGTGTACAAACTAGCCAAATTGGAAAGCAAATACAACATGAGAGAGTATATAAATATAAATCATATAAGGCCTTTAAAAGGAAAATCACAAATAATGTATAATTTCGGACTCTTATTGCTGTCGACCGATCTTACTCGATGAACTACCTTTAATTGGTGATCTCGTCTGCAAGTCTTCATTAATGATTATTTATTAGATGTAACGGTTTATTGACAGAGTCGTGTGGTGTGCGGTAAAGAACAAAATAAATAGAGTACAAACTAACCAAATGAAATGTGTGTGAAGATTAAGAAGAATAATAATATAATAAGCACCCTTAATCTGTGCGATACTACCACATTTATGATATAAAGTTAGGGGCAGAGGAGATGTGTTGGTTGGAATTTGGGGAGTACAATTTGGGTAATTGTGCGTCTGGACATCCTTCGCATTCCTAACATAATGGCAAAAGGGTTGGTAAACCGATCGAAAGTAAACACAAGCTATGAGCAAAACAAGGGCAGGTGAACTAATCATATGCATACATAGTACATATATATTTGTTTTACAAGTAATAATTTACAAATCGACAACAACCATGGCTGCTAGAGAAAATCATAATTCCGTAAATACTAAAAACCTCTTCGAGAAGGACGCGGGCGGGTTGGATTGGCTGCTCTTCGCTTTACGTTATCGCTGGATCGTTAATTCTTTTTCTGTTTTTAACTTGAGTTATATACGTATATAAATGTATATTATCATGCCTAGGTATATTTCTTACACGCTGTCGTCATATACTTTATTTAATAACTGTTTCATAATGCAATTTGTGTTCTATTCCATTATCGCGCTTATTCGGTTAGGGAGAGCCGGCTGTTGATGCTTAAGGTTGATTTAGATGTCAGTTAATGTTCGGTTGTTTGGGGTCCCGGTTGAATTCGAACCTAACAGAAGTTAAGAAAACTACTACATCGTAGTTACCACCATAAAATACTACCGCGTAGTCGTTGCCACCATGCCGCATCAGTGCCGAACACACGTTGCCACGTCAAAGCAGACTGCACCTGGACAACCAACTGTCCTTCGTCCGACTGTCCATCGGTTTCAGCTGATGGCCGCCCTTGGGTGGGTTGTTCGCCTCCTGTGCGCACAAAGAATTCAGTATATATGGTTAGCGACTAGTAAAAAAAACCCTTTGTCCGGGACTTTACACCCGAAGCACTCACCATTCGCTTTTCCGTTTTCGCTTTGATATCACTGGCTAGGGTGAGGAAGGCTTCTTCCACGTTGATGCTGGCTTTTGCGGAGGTCTCCATGAACTTGATGCCGTACTCGATAGCCAATTGTTCACCGCGTTCCTTTGAAACCTACAACAGGGAGAACATTGTACGATTATTATTTTATTCAACGTTTAATCTATTATTTCATGGCTCTTCAGATAGCTATTAAGCTTTTAAAAAGTATATTGATTTTTATTAGTCAGGAGACAAAGCTTTAGAAGACTCAAGTGGTGTTCTTTTTTTGAATGATTTAAAAAAGGAAAATCAGTTTAAAAGGTATTTATGTAAGGGTCTGCAAAAATATATGACAAAATGGAAATAGCATTGTGATCTAATAAGAACATGGAAACAAGCATATAAGTAATTCTTATTGGGGAATAGTTTCATTCATTGAAGTTGCATTATATCCGTGTGTTTACAAAACTTCATGAATCAACATTAAATGTTGGTCAGGCAAACCGAATCAGATTGTTCATTGACAACTGACGAATTTATTGGGTTAGCCCCGAATCGATAAAGCTACTTTAAAGTCTAAGAATAGCCCGTGAATTCATTAATTTTCTTTCGCCATACCTGTCGCTTATCGGTCAGTTCGCACTTGTTGCCCAGCAGCATTTTCTCGACATCGGCGGAGGCGTTCTCCTCAATGTTCCTGATCCAGTTTTTGATGTTCTCGAAGGACTTCTCCTGGGTTATGTCATATACCAGCATGATGCCCATGGCACCTCTGTAATAGGCCGTGGTGATTGTGCGGAAACGCTCCTGGCCGGCAGTGTCCCTGCGAATATATTAAAGATATCAATATAAAGAAATCACAGATTTACTTTCTTATCACTCACCATATTTGCAGCTTAATTTTCTTGTTATCTAATTCAATTGTTCTAATTTTAAAATCGATACCTGCAAAGAGAAAACGAATAAGCATACACACACACAAACGCTAATTAATTTGAATAATTTGGCAAGTGGCTGAACCTGTTTGCTCCGAACCCATGACGTCGCATAAAAAGATAGACAAAGAGGGAAACAGAAGTCGACAAACCACGCAATTGATTTAAACAATGTCGTTAAGTAAATGCCCCAAAATTGGAAGCGTCGCAGGGAAAACGTGCCAAAAACGAAAATAAACAATTATTAGCCACGAGCAGGGATGGGAATCGGTCGACTTTTGTGTTTACAAGTACAGAGAAAACATTGTACATGACAAAAATGATAGGTAAATTGCATAGCTTTCGGTTCCTACTTGATTAAACTAATAATCATGTTTATAAGCTTGAACAATAACGAAATTTTATTACGATCACTAAAAATTATTATGTTCTCTGGGGTTATATATTATATATTATAATATTTGGATGGTATGTGTCAGAAAAGTTCTACTGTATCTATATAAAGACGACCTTTCGGACTCTTCCCATCCCTGGGCATGGGTCTTTAGGTTTACAATGACACTCCCGATTCGGTGAGCTAATGGGTAAGCCTCGTATCAGAACAATCCGGCTTCTGGGGCGATAAGAGCAGTGAAAGTACAAAGACTCTGGGTGAGTCTGGTACTTATTTCTGTGCGCTTTCCTATGCGGGTGTGAATCTGTAGCCGTGATAGCGATTCACATCCGGTTATCCATGTTTGGGGCCTGTTTTTTATTTACACGGAAATCTTTATAACTTCAAGAAATCAAACTGTGGGGGGAGAGGGATGGCCCCTCCCTGGAAAACAACAATAATTATGACAAATACCCGGGACAGCGAAAAGAAAAGAGGAGAACGTTGGCAAATGACTCACTAAAGCTCGAATTCCGAATGAGTTCATGCGAGCCAAGGCGTCATAATTAATGAAAAGCCGCGGATGATGGCAGATTCCCATCGTAGTCGGCACTCACCTATTGTGGATATAAACGTAGTGTTGAAGGCGTCCTCGGAGAACCGGAACAGGATGCAGGTCTTGCCCACTCCCGAATCGCCGATCAGGAGCAGTTTGAACAGATAGTCGTAGGTCTTGGCCATTTTTAAGCGGTAGGATCACAGTGGTTCGTCGTTCGCGTTCGTCACTAATCTGCCCGACGATAGTGGTTATTTGGGGTTAGGGTAAGGGTTAAGGGTAATGCTGTACACGTCGTCGCCTCCTCTCCTTAATCGCAAGTGACTCTTCCACTCGCTCTCGCCGATTCTTTGCTAATAACACTAATCACGAGGATTCCCCATGCGTGCCGTCGAATATAGTATTCCTAGATCTATAGACGTAACCGCAAAAGTTCGCAAATCGTATAATTTTTCCTTCTTCTCTTCTCAGCTCTTTTGGGTGTGTGTGGGTTTTGTGTTTTCGATTTCGGAGCCGTGTCAAAAATGGCGACGTAGTTTTAAGACTTTTTTTGGCTGCGCCCGAGATTCGCAATTCGCGCGGCGACTTTTCCGGTGGGAAAATGCAGGGGCGCTCTCTACGCAGTGCGAGTGTACGTAGCTTTGTTGTGGTTAGGACGTGGAAATTAACTTAATTACTGCTTTCTAATTACGCCCGTACAAAAAATATGATTGTTGGCGGTGTTGGTCAACGACTAATGGGTGTGCTGGGGTGTTGCACAACCCTGCCAAAGCTATCGATAGCTTATCGGTGGAAAAGGAACACAAAAACAGCTGTTGCGGGCAGTGTTGCAAAACGTGCGCCTGACAAGAAACAGAAGAAAATAGCAAATAGCAGAAGACAAGAGTCAAAAAGACAGGTGTATATTATATATATAGTGTCCCGATCCTGCTGCCCCCGATCCTTGACCGTAGCAAATTGTTTCGCCCGCGACTGTTAAGTGAAGTTGAACCAATGTGAGCAGTGGCGTCGCCAGACGCGCAGCAGCAGCAGCAGGAGGAGCCCTAGAACCCATTGCAGTTGCACCCCCGCAAACAACAAAATTCTGGGCCATGGGCACCAAGGAGTCCAAGCACTCCAATAGCATCAGCTACGAGGATTCGGTGAAGCGCGGTGAGTGTCCTCCGGTTGGAGTAATGTGTGCCAGTGCCCCTCGTCGGAAGTGGAAAATGGGTCACTGCTAATCAAGAAAAACAGAGAACCCCCGCAAAAGCAACAGCAACAACAGAGGCAGGTGCAATCGATTCCATTGTTGTTGCGCCCACGACTTCTGACCAGCGGTTCCACCAACAGACCCTCACCTGACCACCACCCACTCTTCCTCAGCCTGCATTTCAAATTCCCTTTTTTTTGTTGCAATTAATTTTTGCCATTCCAGTGTTCCCTTGCTTTATTTGTGTTTGTGCGCTTGTGTGTGTGTGCATGGGTATTTGCGTCTCCGCCGCCAGTGACGTCACAATAGAAAAGCTCAACGATTTGGGGGTGGTTTGCGGGTGGATGTGGGGTGGTGGGAGGTGGGGGCGCTGGGTGGCTGGGAGACAACAAAGCAGCGACGCACAGAAAAACAGTTAGGTAGCCAGTGCAGTGCAGTTCATGCTTAGGGTGACTGGAATGCGCGGATGCGGATGTCATCGCGGATGCGGTTCATTTCAAGTTCATCCCGTCATTCCAGTGTTCATTTCGATTTGCATTTCCTGTGCCAGGGCATTCCATAAAAGTATTTGATAAAGAAATTCCTTTCAAGTTCGTTTTTTGAAATCTCATGAAGGAAATTCTATTGTTATTAAGCTTGCCGCTCTAAATTCTGCATGTCATTCCCCCGTTCGTTTCCATTCGCATTTAAGTGCATAGACATTCTGAATAGTATTTTAAAAAGAAATCACTTTCAAGTGCATTTCCAGATAGGAATGAAAGCATTTCGGCTTTAAAAGGCAAACGATTAGGCTAATTACAGTGGTACCTGCCTAACATCTTTTTCCAAAGAAGATATCTTTAGGAATTTAATTCTGATAATTATTGTTTTGAAAAATAGGTTTTAAAAAATATAAAGTAGAGTTAACCGAACTTTGTTATAACACAGTTTATTAAGATTCGAAGTCTTGAAGTTCCCCGGTCTATAGTAGTATAGCATACATTTTAAAAGATTTCGTTAAAAAAGTTTTTATAAAATTATGTAACATAGATAACCCTAAACCTAAACTTTATTAAAGCATTGATTATTTAGGTTCGAAGTCTTTAGTTTTTACAGTTCATAATAGTAAACCCCAGTATCAACTGTTAATCATCCAAGAAGTTAAGATTATTTTGACCAACTAAAACCCGTTATTTTCCACCCCGTCGCCCCATTCTCCATGACGTTTAGCGCTGGTAGTGCTTTAGACGTACTTTATTTCCCATTCCCTTTGTACTGGCATTCATCTCACTACTGGTGTGGTTGAGGTTGCTGATTTCCAGCCAGCCAGAGTTAAAACGAATGTCGCTGATAAGGCCCTCGGCCGGCCCACCTGACCACCCCCCCGGAAACCCACCTTCTCGGCAGTGTGGGGCGTGCGACCAGGTGCGTGTGTTTCTTATTAGCCACACCACACCGACCGGTTCCAATAAAACCAAGCCAACAACGAAGAAATTCAAGAAAAGAGGGGGAAAAACAAATAAATGCTGGCATGCAAGTACGGCAGCCAGAAATCTCAGAACCCAGTTGCAGTTGACATTCAATAAAATTCCGTTTCCGTGACGTCGCATAATTCCCCCAGCAATATTGCCCAATTAATTCCGGAATTTATTTTTGCTCTTATCAGTTGGTTCTGTTCTCAACCTGATCGCAGAAATTAAAATGGTTTATTTATTGTCAATTGACTGACACTTCTTGTGGCTTTTTATTTCCTACATTAATAAGTCAACGTTATACATTGTAAACAACGGGCAATTAATGATTTAATAATTAAATTAAATTGTTAAATAATTACCTTCCGTCATATTTCAATGGTTTTATATTTATTGATTATTGCATTCTTTGAACTAATTGCATTTGAACCGAGTTAAATTAGCAAATATTTTTTAAAAATCTGAAATATTTAATAGATGATGAATGAACCTTTTACTCTTTCCGGTCGTTTTATGACTTAAATGCGATACGATTTTTATTTAGCACACATGTGCCTATAAACAAATGGACGTGCACTTGTGATTCCTCGCAGAGTGAATCACAATTATTCGGAAATCAAAAAATTCTGTTGAAGCAGACTTTAAGATAAACATTCCAACTGTTTTATTGTAAAATATGTTGCATACCTAAATGGCGTTTTATAAAAAATCATTCATGAGGGTCTTTAAAATAATAACATTTTGTTGGGAGGAACATTGAACTTAGTAATGAATATTATTAATATTTTATTGAGCTGTAAAATATTCTATAGTTACCTACTCTTACGATATACACTTTTACACTAAGAGTGAGAGGTATACAATCAATTATAGATAATAGCTAATTAGGTAACAGTGACACTTAATCCCATAAGTGATGGAATAGATAAATAATTTCAGAAATTATGTTTATTGCTGTTATTAACGAATGCAGCAAGTGTGTTTGAATTATTTTTTGGATTGTTATTTTGCTCTATAATCAGTTCATTATTGACGTCACGTAGGTTGGTGTGAAAACGAGCTCGTAAATCGCATTAAATACGGGGGCTCCCAAGCACGTCTGCTATTAATTAGAGGCATTTGGGATAATCCCTACCGCAAGCGTTACTCATCCATCTGATTTCCATTCCAGTAAGCGATGTGGAGCTTCGGCGCCTCAGAGATGCCTTCAAAAAATCGGCGGGCGTGGGCAGGAACTTCCTCAGCAAGAACGCCTTCCAGCAGGATGTGCTTTGCGAGGGAGTGCCGCCGAAGATCACGGACATGTTATATACGGCATGTGGTGGCACCCAGCGCGGCATCTCCTTCAATGACCTGCTCTGCGGCCTGGTCCTCATCACACGGGGCACCCAGGGGGAGAAAACCAAGTGAGTATGCCATCAAGTACAAGGTATAACTATAATAACCTGTTGTGTTCTATCCAGATTCCTGTGGAACCTCTACTGCAACGATGCCGGCACCTTCATCATCAAGTCGGACTATGTGCGCAACGTCAATCTGCCTCCCTTCGAGAGCGTCTCCCTGTTTGCTCAGAGCGAACGCGTCAATTTCGAGCAGTTCCAGGACTGGATCATAAAGCATCGCAATGCCACGGTCCTCTCCAAGTGGCTGCTCTCCGACAACTGTGTCAGTCTCACCTCGGAGCTGGAGACGCCCACGTTCTACCAGAGCCTCGCTGGAGTGACGCACCTGGAGGAGAAGGTTAGATTCCATAAAGAACACCCAACTATGGCTAATCATATTTTGTAAACACCTGCGTCGCCAATCATTTCCTGGGAAATGTATTTTCCACACCTGTTTCGTAATCCGCCATTTCAAATCAACAGAGCCACATTCCCGTTTATTCTTTCGGTCAGAACACATTAATTCCTCTATAATCTTTTGCAGGACATTGGTGATCTGGAGAAGGAGTTTTGGCGCTTGAAGAACACTTCGCAAAACGGGCAAATCGATCTGCAGTTCCTGGGCCCCCTGATCAGTCCACCCATACCAAAGAATGCGCTAGCAGGACTCTTCAACGCCTTCGATGAGAACCGCGATGGACACATCGACTTCAAGGAGCTGTGCTGTGGCGTGAGTGCCGCCTGCCGAGGACCGGGTGTGGAAAGAACACGATGTGAGCACTAATTACTTTCAATAATTCCACTATAAACTAACCTCTTATAAACTCTACCTTTATGTACAAAAAGTTTGCTTTAAAATCTTCGATGTGGATAGAGATGGAGTTCTTAGTCACGAGGAGACGCTTCAGATGATCGATGTTCTGCTGTTGGTGGCCAAGGAGAACCGTGAGGCGCAGCAGTACAAGGATCTGACCAAACAGCTGGTGATAAGTGACCTACTGGAGTTTGGCCAGCGCAGAAGTCCGGATGGGACGCCCAGCAGACTAACCCGGGATAATGTCTCGCTCACCGCCGAGGACTTTATGCTGTGGAACGTTCAGTGCGACCTGAGACTCATGCAGCCCTTGTTGGACCTCATCTTTGAGCTCTGCCACATCGTCTTTGGCCTGTGGCCGCAGTGCAAGCATATGGAGAACGATATTGTTCGCGGATGGCTGCGGCGCGAGGAACGCAGGCCGTACCGCGTGGGTCAATTCTGGTACTTAATATCGCGCGACTGGTGGCTCGGTTGGATGCAGTACACCCAGCATACGGCCCACACCTGCGACTATTGCAAGCGCACTGCCAGCCAGCGCACCGCTGTGGATGAGGCGCTTGTCTGCGATGAGAGCTTCAACACCCACAGCCTGGAACAGCACGACAGCTACTCATTGGGCTCTGGGACGGGATCGGCATCCGGTTCGGGGTCGGCCAGCAGTGGTTTCTCAGCTGGACGACACTGTGGTCCAGTCCGACCGGGACCCATCGACAACAGCAATCTGATCACAGCCAATCCGTTTCGAAATGTACGCACCCTGACCGGCGAGGGCGGTCACCTTAAGCGGGACACGCCCCTGGTGCAGAACCACGACTTCGAACTGGTTCCCAAGTCCTTGTGGAAGGCCCTAAATCGGTGGTATGGCGACAATCTGCCACTGCCACGACAGGTAAGAATTAAATCATGTTTTCATAAAATCAATTACTATAAATAATTAAAATCTCCATTCCCTTAGGTCATTCAACCGCCCAACTCGGACGTGGAACTGGAGCTGTACCCGCTGAACCTGCGCATCCTGCTCCACCAGGCGCAGTCATCACAAACAGGCTCTGGCGGTGGCGCTCAACTCGGGAGCTGGGGCTCCACGGTGAGCGGTGGCTATGGGGTCCTGGCCTCTGGAGGCGGCTATGCGGCCATTGCGGCAAGCAGTGTGCTCCAACCGCCGAAACGATACCTCGCCTATACGGCTGCCTTCAGCCGATTGGCCACAGTACGCCAGGTGTGCGAGTTCCTGTGCGACCAACTACGTCTCAAATCGGAGGACATCCGGCTGTGGCATGTGCCGCAGCTGGACAACGGTGCCATATTGCTGGAAGAGGATGCCATGTGTCTGAAAGAGCTGCTCATCCGGGACAACGATCAGCTGCTGCTGGAAATTCGCAACAAAGATTTGACATGGCCGGAGGAACTCGGCTCCCTGGCCAGCGCTCAGAGTGGCCAAGGAGTGGGAACCCCAGGCGACCGGCGTCGCCTCACCCGCAGCTCAATTATGTCGGTACACGCGCCGGGAGCCACTGGGCTGCACAACTTGGGGAACACCTGCTTCATGAACGCTGCCCTTCAGGTGCTGTTTAATACGCAACCGCTGGCCCAGTATTTCCAGCGGGAGATGCATCGCTTCGAGGTGAATGCGGCTAACAAACTGGGCACACGGGGCCAACTGGCCATGCGCTATGCGGAGCTGCTCAAGGAGGTTTGGACGGCCACGACGCGCTCCGTGGCACCGCTCAAGCTGCGCTTCTGCGTCAACAAGCATGCTCCGCAGTTCGCCGGCGGAGGTCAGCACGATTCACAGGAACTGCTCGAGTGGCTGCTGGACGCACTGCATGAGGATCTCAACCGTGTGATGGAGAAGCCGTACAGTGAGCTGAAGGACTCTAATGGTCGTCCCGACAAGATAGTGGCCGCTGAGGCCTGGTCACAACACCACGCCCGCAACCAGTCGATCATCATCGATCTGTTCTACGGCCAGCTAAAGTCAAAGGTCAGCTGTCTTGGTTGCGGACACGAATCCGTGCGCTTTGATCCCTTTAGCCTACTCAGCCTGCCGCTTCCGGTGGAGAACTACGTTTACTTGGAGGTCTTGGGTGAGTCTTTTAAATAGTATAAGCACCTGAAAGATTTTCCTATTTCTAACTTTTTTCTCTACTTAATTTTTAGTAATCCTGTTAGACGGCAGCGTGCCGATCAAATATGGGTTTCGTCTAAACTCTGAATGCAAATACTCGCATCTGAAGCACAAGCTGGCCACCCTGTGCTCCCTGCAGCCGAATCTGATGCTCGTCTGCGAGCTGTGGAACTCACAAATACGTCAAGTGCTGGCCGACGAGGAGAAGCTGCGCACGCAGAGCGCCAAGGAGCTGTATGTCTATCAGCTACCCGAGCAGAGTGTGAGGACTCGTTCCAATTCAGTGCTCAGCATGCACATTGAGCAGGGTCTCAAGGACATTCAGCGCAGTTCCGGTACTTAGTTACTCAATGAGATACAAGATTATACTTTATTTACACACTCAATCTCACCCAGCTCTCATTACGAGCGCCCAGGACTCGCTGTCCTCGCTGAGCACTCTGCAGACCTCCAGCCACCGCGCATCCTCTCGAGTTCTGTGCAATGGTCATGTGTCTGGCCTGGAGGTCGAAGTGGAGGCGGAGGTGGAGGTCGAGGCGGATGCTTCTCACTACAACAACAGAAGCAGCAATAACTACAATCCCATCGTTAGCACGTTCAGTGGAAACGGTAGCGGGGACAACCAAGTGCACGAACTGCTGCCAGATGAGGCCGGAAAGGTAAGCCGGTGCTTTGGAAAGCGAGAGTGCATGCCACACAGCCTATTTTGCTTCAAGGTATGGCTTCTAAACTATATTAACATACACGTATTTAATATCATAGATTTACGCCCCAAGTTTTCTTTGGGGCCAATCGAATTCTAAAATTCAGAGCTTCAGAACTCCAGAACTTCCCTTGCCTAGGATTGCGGCCGGTTCGTCTTCGATTTCGAAATGCGAAATTAGAATCCGCCAAAGATTCCGCCTCCGTCTGCTTTTCGAGTGTCACTTTACAAGCGTTTAATCTAAATATATATTAAATACCACTATGTTAAATGAACAGTTGCCGTCTGCTGCGTGGTTTGTGGGCTTCCCTCTTAACTTCTCAAAACTACTAGCAAAACTCTGTACATTCTCCTTACTTTCGTATTATTCGCACACTGTTACCAAATTGATATCAATTATTTGTAATCTATATATCCTTCTACTAATCACTTAATTTGTTGCTGGCCTTATTCTATAATTCTATAACCAATGTACATTTTTTGCTTAAATCTAAAACTTAAAAACATTTCGAATCACCTCTTTGCTATCCTTGAATATCTTTGTTGTTGTTGGTTATCAAGTTGGCAGTTTGTGAATTATAATTTATCTTGTAGTTTTTAGACATTCTCATAGCTTTGCAATGCCACCCTCCATTAACGGCGATTCATGTTATCCGTATATTGTGTTTTGTTTTTAGAAAATTCGGTGGACTAGTTAGATTGTCTTAGCTTAGACGATAGACTTGTTTTTTATATACGTATTTTTAGATCGAATTTTATAGATTGTAACTATCATACACAATTAGTTACATGATATGATATTTTTGTAAATCTGTAGGTTAATCTTAAAAATTTTAAAATCGAATCATCATTTTGTTAAAAATCTCTTATAGGTTTTTAAAGTACCAAAAATAATATTATTTGCAATCAAACTCCAAAGCAGAACTAACAATAACTTAGAAAGTTTACAAACTTTGAAATCTGTTTAAAAACTATCATAACTACAGTTTTACTTTCCACCGAACCCACACAATAACCAAATAATAAAGAAGAAGTTGATTAAAACACCTGCCATAAACAATTTGTAAATTTATACGTAGAGTTTGAATTTTAGCCGTTTACCCTCTAGACATTTTGTAAATTTGCGAGTAGATTGATCCTTGGTTTGAGTTCAGTTCCCAAAAGCTTTAATACACAACAACACCCAACACGCCCCTGAAAACACTAACCAAACCAGCCCAGCACAACCAAGTCTAATACCAAGTCCAACTCTCGGTGCAGGAGTCGCTCATCCTGAGCTCCAGCCCGGAGAACACCTTCATGCATGGCACTGCCGCCCAGCAGAAGCGTGTGTCCTCCGCCAAGTTGCTGCACACGGAAAGCAACACCAGCTCCATGTCGTACACCAATCACTCGGGCGAGAACTCCATGGAGAGCTCGCTGACGGAACCCATTCCCATGGCGGAGCTGGCGCCGGTGAGTAGCCGCCATGGCAGCAACAGCGATGACTGCTCCTTCCGGATGTCGCCCAACGATTCCAGTGGCCTGAGCACGGGCAACACGCTGGGCGCCAGCCTGGATGTGGACGAGCAGGCGGAGGAGGGCAACGAGGAGGAGGAACCGGATCAACCGGATCAGATCACCACTTCGCAGCCGGAGACCAGCAGCGGCGTCTACTCACGTCGCTCCTCACAACCACCGCACAAGGCGGGCAAATATCTGGTGGCAGTACATCGAAAGATCACCCGACACGACAGCTACTTCCTTTCCTACCACAAGACGCGACCAAGTCTGTTCGGTGTTCCACTGCTCATCCCTAATAGTGAGGGCGGAACCCACAAGGATCTTTACTGCGCCGTGTGGCTCCAGGTCAGCAGACTCCTCAGCCCTCTGCCGGCCACTACGGAGCAGGCCAATCATGCCGCTGATTGGTAAGTATACACACCTTAAGCTATTTGATGGTTCTATTATATGTATGGTCTAACTTTTCCGCAGTGATGACAGCCTGGGATACGATTTTCCCTTCACGTTGCGCGCCGTCAAGGCGGATGGTCTCACCTGCGCCATCTGTCCCTGGTCGAGCTTCTGTCGCGGATGCGAGATCCGCTGCAACAATGACTTTGTACTCCAGGGAGCCCTGCCGCCCATCAATGCAGTGGCCAGTAAGTAGAGCTAAGGGATTTCTAAGAAATAGCGATATATTATATTATATTTCCTCGTAGGCAATACATCAACGCCAAAAATGAACGCTAAATTCCCATCGCTACCAAATCTGGAGGCCAAACGGACGCCGGAGTACACCGCCTCGTTGTCGTACACACCGACAACCAAATATTTTGAAGACTTTACCATTGCCATCGACTGGGATCCGACTGCCCTGCATTTGCGCTATCAAAGCACCCTGGAGCGTGTATGTAGAAGCTCTTCAAAAGTAATTTCGGTTTAATAACATCAATCCCTTTTTAGCTTTGGGTGGATCACGAGACCATTGCCATAAGTCGGCGGGAGCAAGTGGAGCCCGTAGACCTGAATCATTGCCTGCGCGCCTTCACCTCCGAGGAGAAGCTGGAGCAGTGGTATCACTGCAGCCATTGCAAGGGCAAGAAACCCGCCACCAAGAAGCTGCAGATCTGGAAGCTGCCTCCGATATTGGTGAGCGGTTGCGCTTGACTGAATTCCAAGGCCCCATGTCAATGAAAATTACTTTTTTCTTAGATTGTCCACTTGAAGCGGTTCAACTGCGTCAACGGCAAGTGGGTCAAGTCACAGAAAGTGGTGCACTTCCCCTTCGATGACTTCGATCCAACACCATATCTGGCCTCAGTGCCTCAGGAGACGATACTGCGGCACAAGGAGCTGCTGGAACTGAAGAAGGATGCTGATATGCCGCTGGCAAGCAACGACGTTGTTAGCGAGCTGGACGAGATTGATGCCCCCATCAAGCAGGATAAGGAGGATCTTCCAACAAAAGCTGCAACAGCCACACCAGCGCCCACCGGGAATATCCTTCGCCAGAGCAAGACCATCAATGCTGCCCGACGACAACGCCTCATCTCGACGAGTCTCACCAAAACGCCCATCGTAGATGGCGAGTTCGAGGATTATCACCAGCACCGACTCAAACCGGAGGTGGATGAGTTCGATCCCAAGTACCGACTCTATGCCGTTGTGGTGGGTGTAGCTTAGAGATCTCATCTTAATGGGTGTATAACAACCTTCTTTTCCTGTAGTCTCACTCGGGCATGCTGAATGGGGGTCACTACATTTCCTATGCATCGAATGCAACTGGTTCCTGGTATTGCTACAACGACAGCTCCTGCCGCGAAATATCCCAGAAGCCGGTCATCGATCCGAGCGCCGCATATCTGCTCTTCTACGAACGGAAGGGTCTGGACTACGAACCGTATCTCCCAAACATCGAGGGACGGGCCCTGCCCAATGCCTCAAATGTGCCCCTCGAGGTGGACGAGACCGAGGGAGAGCTGAAGAAGCTGTGCTCAATTTCCTAACTGATGTCCGTGGGCATCATGGCTATGAAGATTATATTCCCCAATTCTTCCCCGTTCTGTTCTAGCGAGTTTGTGTTTTGTTTCCCAACGCGTATGTTTTGTTATTTACTATTCTAAGCTCTTTTTGATTTTCTGCAATAGTTGTTTAGCCCCTAATTAGTTTTAAGCCTACCTTCCCTCTTCTTTGCCGAGTTTGGTTTAATGCCTGTAATATACAATATTCAAGTTTAGCTTGTAAATAATACGTTAAATTGGTTGGCCAACGTGGAGTTTTGTTTGTTACGTCGAACAAATCCATTCTCAATATTTTCTTGTTGTTTTTTCTTGTTTTTGTTGTATATAATTTTAAAATTGTAATTGTATTAGGCCCACAGAGCCAGCTTATTATTATTTATGCCAGACCATGTCGGGAAATTCCATTTAATTTGTAACTATTACTGTGTAAATAACAAGCGAAAGTGAAACCCGAACGGCGAAACGTTGTAGACAGTTTGATATTAATCATTATTGAAGAGCAATATCAAGATGTTACGAATTTCATCCCAAGAACTCGCAGACTATTGTTGCTCTACTCATACGTATTTACATGTATTGATTGGCTTTGTGTGACGCACCGAGCGGATTCGGTTCGAAATTAGTATTGCGCTTATCAGATATGACTTCAATATGTCTAATGATTATGTATTTGATATTTACAAATTATATATATACACCCACAGATATATATACATACAGAACTTAACTAATTTATATTAATATACATGAACATGATGATATATTCGAAACGAAAAGCTATGAATAAAACTTTTATCGCTTGAACCAAATTGCATTTTCAATGAAGCCTAGTTTTTGGAACTAGAAATTTTTGAATATTCAAGTTACTGTTCCACTTCCAACCCAAATAAGTAATACCACGAACACTCCTTTGCAATGGAATTCAATACATTTATATTTTGTATCTAGATTATGTAATCACATAGTGAAGAAGTAAAATAAGGACTATTATACTTGTCGTAGGTGAATGGGTCACGAGTCGTGTTCTGCTGAGATCCGGCCCAGGAGCAGAATCTGAAGCCTGGTAACACCGAACCCGCCATTCGCCAAGTGTCAAACGTTTTGAATTAATTATTTGTGTGAACGCGACATGGATCGTTTTTTTTTTTTTTGTGTTATCGGGATTTCATTGCAAATGATTATGATAAATATAAGTTGTGGGGGTGTGCGGGTGTTTTTTTGTGTAGAAATTTAAATTCTTAGCTTGAGTAAAGTATATTTGCATGGAATACGAATGCTCTTAACATAGATATTGAGGAGATGCCTAGACGCCGGAATTATTCGAGAGCTGGCCGGGCACCGAGAACTGTGGCCGGAAGTTGGCAAAGTTGCCCGCCGGTCCGCTGGTGAATGCTGGCAATGTTGTGCCCTGGAATCCAGCCGGGAATTGTGCCATTAATTGAGCTGTAAGAGAAACAAAAATCAGTTAGTTTACACTTTTTTTATGGTAAAACCCTTGAGGAAACTCACCTGCATTAGAGGCATTACCGGCGGTGGCCGCCAGGCGGGAGAGAATCGATCGCTCGGACATCTGGAGCCGCTGGGCCACCGGTGGGATGCGGGCCAAGGTGGCTGGCAGCCGGGACACATCGCTCTTCATGTCCGAGAGCAGCTCTTCGAGCTGGTTGAGCACCTTGTGCAGCACCGCGTTGGCGGGCTTGTTGCCAGCCAGCGACTCCTTGCTGAGATGCTGATGGGATTCGGCCAGGCACTCGACCTCGGCGAAACGAGCGTTCAGCGACATGGCCGGATGGCTGGGGTCTTGGGCGAGATTAAGGTAGGCCGCCCGCCGCAGCTGCTCCTCAATGACCAGCGCCTGTTCCAGCAGCTTGAAGCGCCGGGCCAGGAACTTGTTCTTGATCTCCAGGAAGTTGCCCTTGCCGACGTCCATCTTGAAGGGTTCGTTGATGATCGCGAAGCGAATGTCGTTCTGAATGTCCTGCCAGCGTCCATAGCCGTGGGTCACGATGCCGGCCAGCAGCCAGTAGTCGTGGCGACGGTGCCAGATCTCGTACTCCCTGCCAGGCACCGCAGCCTTCTCCTCGTTGAGCCACAAGGTGTGCAGTTCGGTGAAACCGCCATCGGCGATGTTAAACATGAATTTGCGCTTCAGCACCTCCAAGCTGTCCTCCACTCCCTTGCCCGTGGCTCCAGTGGCAGCGGCAGCAGCAGCGGCGGCGGCAGCGGCCGCCTTGTGATCCTTGGGTGAACTGGCACTCGGCTTCTCCAGCTCTCCGTCCTCCTTGACAATCATCACGTCGTCATCATCGTCGTCAATAACTGTCGTCGGTATTGGCTTCTTGTCCTCGGCCTTCTCCTTTTCCTTCTCTTCGGTCTTGGGCTCTTCCTTAAGCTCCGGATCCTTGGCCTCCTCTTTGGGCTCTGTCTTGGCCACTTCGGTTTTAACGTCCGCCTCGCTTGGCTTTGTGTCGCCGGAGGTTTCCTCCGACGGGTTCTCTTGCTTCACATCCCCGGGCTTCTTGTCCTCCTCAGCCTCTTGCTCCTGCTTCACCTCGCTCTTCTCAGACGAGGCCTTATCCTTCTCCTTTTCGGAATCTTTGTCCTTGTCTTCACCCTTCTCGGATGCTGGTGCTGGACTGGGAGCCGCACTGGTGGCTGGAGTGGCGCTGTTGCTGGTAGTAGCGCTCTTGTCCACATTGCCGCCAGCCGGAGGAGCTTCCAAAGCGGCCACATCCTGTTTCAGTGCTGACCGTACCGGTTCGCAAGGCTTAAGGATCAGCTCGGGCATGCTGTAGTATCCGTTAATATGCTCGAATTCCTGCACCTTCTTGCGAATGAGCGACATCACTCCAATTCGGGTGAGAACATGCTGACGGGAAAGTCCCTCGCGCGGAACACCATCGGCAAAGGTCTCCGCATTGTCGGCTCCCGGCTCACAGAGATGCCGCATGAACAGCGAGACATACGCCTTGAAGTTGCGCTCGGATTTACCACGCAAGTCCCGCACCAACCACTGCGAGTTAAAGGCATCCTGCGGCGGCATTCCGTACCGCATGATGGCATTGAGGAAACTCTTGCGTTGACGGGCATTGAAACCGAGCACCTCGATGTTTCCACCGACGCGAGCCAGAAGCGGAGGCAATGGACGATCGTCGCGACGCTCCAATCGCCGCTTGGCCTTCCGCTCGCCTCCATTCTGGTCATCGAAGTCGTCGTCGCCGCCATCCTCATCGGAACCAGCTGAATACTCCGAGTTATACTCGCTGCCGTTGTCCTGCCAGTTGGAATCATCTCGCGTGGTATCCGCAGCCACAACGCCTCCGTCTGTATAGTTGACCTGTTTGCGAACTCGCTTGCCCTTGCCCAGGCTACGACCCACATCCTCTTGGTGCTGTTCGTAGTGGTGGCGAAGGAGCTTCACCCAGTACGCCGGATCAGAGTTCTCCGCGTCCTGCTTGATGATCTCCGTCTCTTCCTCCTCCTCCTCTTCCTTGGTTGCGTAGGAAGCCACCTTGAACGAGGACAGATACTCGTTGGCCCAGGACTCTTTCTCCTCAATGCCGCGATTGGTTCGGTCTAGCAGCTCGGCCACCGCCTTGTCATCGTAGTGGATAGCCTCCTCCTTGTCGTCCTCCTTAAACAGATCCTCGGTACCAAAGCGAAGGATGTCGTCCAGTTCTTGCTTGGTGAAGTTCGCACCCTTGCCGCCCATTCCCGGCCGCACCACAAGATGAGTCAACATCATCTTACGCTTGGCCACCTGCGTAACTCGCTCCTCCACGGAATTGCGGGTCACAAATCGATAGATCATCACCTTATTGGCCTGTCCGATACGATGGGCTCGGGAGAAGGCCTGAATATCGTTGTGCGGATTCCAATCGGAGTCGTAAATGATGACAGTGTCGGCCGTGGCCAAGTTAATACCCAATCCTCCGGCTCGAGTACTGAGCAGGAAGACAAACTGCTGCGCTCCGGGCGCATTGAATCGATCGATAGCTTCCTGACGCAGCGTTCCCGTGATTCCTCCGTCAATCCTCTCGTACTTGTACTGCTCGCCCTCGAGGAAGTCCTCAAGAATGTCCAACATCTTGGTCATCTGCGAGAAAATCAGCACACGATGGTTTTGCGACTTCAATTGCTTCAGCATCTTGGAGAGCAGGACCAGCTTGCCAGCGGCCTTGGTCAGCGAATTGATCTCGTAGAGACCACCGGCAGAGGTGGTTGCCTCCTCGGCGGCCGATGGGAAGAGGTACGGATGGTTGCAGCACTTCTTCAGGTCCATCATGATGTTAATCAGAGAACATGACCCTCCGCCACTCTTCGAATTCAAAGCCTCATAGTTCTTGGTCAAGATGAACTTGTAGAACTTCTTCTGCATGGCCGACAGCTCGACGCGCACAATAAACTCCGACTTGGAGGGCATGTTTTTCAGCACGTCAGTCTTCAAACGACGCAGCATGTGCGGTCCCAGCATCTCGTGCAGGCGCTTAACCTGCTCCTCCTTCGAAACGTCAGCGAACTCGCCCTGGAAGGCCTGCAGATCGTTGAACTTGTCGCGGCTCAAGAAGTTGAGCAGATGGAACAGCTCCTCGAGGTTGTTCTGCAACGGTGTGCCGGTGAGCAGCAGTTTGTAGGCAATGGCGTAGCTGTTCAGTATCCGGAAGAACTTGCTCTGGTTGCTCTTCAATCGATGAGCCTCGTCCACCACCAGCACAGCCCAATCGATGCTGCCCAGACAAGCGGCGTCCATGGAGATCAGCTCGTAGCTAGTCAGCAGTACGTTGAACTTGTACTGGGTGGTCCGCAAACGCGATACCTTGCTACCCCGGATGGCGCCCTCCTCGAAGCTCAATTCGTTTTCTCGGATGACGGCTCGCGAGTCCTTGTCACCGATATAAGTGATGCAATAAAAGTCAGGAGCCCACAGCTCAAACTCACGCTCCCAATTGACGAGCGTGGAGAGCGGCACGGCCACGAGAAAGGGTCCGCGGCAATGGCCCTCCTTGTACAGGGAGTACAAGAATGTCACCGTCTGAATGGTTTTACCCAGACCCATCTCGTCGGCCAGAATGGTGTCGATGCCCTGGCCCCAGCTGTAGCGCAACCAGTTGATGCCCTCGATCTGGTAGGGATGCAACTGCATGCCAGTGCCCTCCAAGAACGCGGGCTGATCCTCGTACTTCTTCTTCAGATCAGTGGTGGGCTTATCCGGCGGCGGTGTGTAGTGCTTTACTGGACGATCCTCGTCGTCCTCCACCTTGAGCTTGGACTTGCGACCCTTCTTGCTCTTCTTGCTGCGCGACGTCGTGGTCTCCGAAGTGCAAACAGCACGAAGATCCTGATAGTAGTCAATGGCTTGTCTTAGGCCCTGGATGTCATCGCCCTCCTCCTCCCACGTGGACTTGTCGTAGGGCAACTCGCGCCACTTGACCAGATACATGGTGCTGCCATCTCGTGCCGTACGATGGTTGATTACACGCTGGACAATGAGCCACTCCGGTTTGACGCCATTCTTGTAGAACTTCTCCTCCAGCAGCTCGGTGTCATCGTCGGCCTTCATGCCAACCTTGTCCTTGTGTCGCTGAATGCGCTTGAAACGGGTGTCCGCCTCATCCAGCGACTCCTCAAATTTGGGCGGCTCCTCCATGTCGTACTTGCGCTGGAACGAACGGATCATCAGCGGATGATGGACGTCCAGTTGGACCTCCGGCACCCATTCACAGTGCCAGTAGGACATGTTGTGCCACTTGATAAAGTACTCGCGCACCCGCGAGTTACTGCTCTTCGATCCCTTCGATGTGGAGGGTCCATCATCACTGGGACGCACTGCCCATCGCCAGGTGATGATCTTCTCTGCCTTGCCGGTGAGCGGTGGGCAGCTGCAGCGTGGACAGCGCCAATCGCCATCAGGGATAGTGTCCAACGGAGGATTCAAGCAGAACGTGTGGTAGGCCGAGGGGCAAGAGTCGCAGCAGAGCAACTCGCCGCCATCCTTGCACACCCGACAGAATTCCTGGTGCTCATCGTCGTCCTCTTCTTCGGCGGCACCGCCATCCGCCTCGCAGTGCGGACACGACCACTTCCCCTCTGGCGGTTCATCCAACTCGGGCTCCAAGCAAACCAAATGGTATGCTCGCGGGCAGGTGTCGCACAGGATGATCTCGCCTCCTTGCTGGCACACCTCACAGTAGTCCTGGTGCTCGTGCTCGCCATCCTCGCCTTCCGGGAAGTTCTTGGTCTTCTTGAGTTTGTTCTTCTTCTTGAACTTGTTGCCGATCTTGGTCTTGGCCTTCTTGCGCACCACCGGAGCACCGGATGCATCTTCCTGGGCGGCGGGTGCCGAGTTGTCTGCCTTGGCGGAGGCAGGAGCCTCCTTTTCGTCGGCACTGTCATCCGACTTCTGTAGCATGCGCTCAAACTCCAGATCCGAGTCGCGTTCGGATGCACCGCTGGCCTCTTGCTCCTCGTCCGAGCTGTCGCGCTTGCGCTTGCCCAGCAGCTTGATCTTCAGAGTGGGCACCTTGCCGGAGGGACGACGTCCCTTCTTGCCACGCCCACTGCGCTTGCGTCGTGGCTTCTTTTCCTCCTCCTCCTCTTCTTCCTCCTCCTCGACCACCTCCTCGTAAATGTCATCGGGTTTTTCGTTGCGCGAAGAGCGCGAGGATCGCGGTTCCTCCGGTTCGTCGCCGGCCACACTGCGTGCCTGGCCAGCGGATGTGCCAGAACCGGCGGCTCCTCCCTCTTGCTGAATGTGCGGATTGCTCTCACAGAACTCACGCCACTTGGCCGCCACCAGCATCATCAGCTTGGGAGCCGCAATCTTGGGGTTCTCCTTCTGCAGAATGGGTCGCACGTGCTGCATAAAGGCCTTGTAGGTGGTGAGGCTCTGCAGCTCCTCCTCGCTGTACTCGATCTCCACATCGCATACGCTGAATGCCGAGCACACGTCCTCCACGGAGGGCATACCTAAAATGGATGAAACATGAGTGATTTCAAAAACCGTCTTAAGATAAGATTGAAATCTAAAACTTTTTTTAAATAATTTTTTTATGTATCCACTGCACTGATCATATGATTTTAGGAAATTTAAATCCAGCTTTCGAAGAAATATGTTTAATATAAGTTATAATTCTCGGCAACTATTTGATTAAGAAACTTATACGATTAAAAATATTAATTTCTTGATATAATTGTATAAAAAAAAATCTAGCACATTCCTCACTAATCTGGGATTGATTTGCATTTTAAACAATCTTATCAAAAAAATGCTTGTACTGCTCGATTAAGAAAAAAATTACATAACATTATTAAAGAATTCTGTTCGTAAATGAGTCTAAGTATTTCGAAAAAAATTAAGTATTCTTAAAAAATTATTACTTTAATGTTTTGTTAGGACCATAATAAAAGAAAGTAAGGGAATGAGTGAGTTGGCACTGAAAATATCTAATGTATAAAGTCCTATCATAGAACTCCTATGGTTCTGAGAAAAGTTGTGCACTTCTTCTCACCTGATGATGCTGACTCCTTCTCCTTCGCGGCCTGCTTCTCCTCCTTGCGCTTCCGGCCGCGCTTCGAGGTGCTGGGGTACTCCACCTCCTCGTCGTGCTGGACAAAGTCGCTGTCCTCCTCGCTCTCGTTCTTCTTGCGCTTCTTCTTCTTGCGGCCCTTCTCCTCGCCCTTCCTGGTCTTCCGCTTCTTGCCCTTCTTCTTCTTGCGATTATCCTCCGGATCGTAGTCGTCATCCTCGTCATTCTATTGGAATATTCGGGGGTTTCAGGGATTACCATCTATGTTACTATGTTTATAAGAATTATAACTTACATTGGGCTTCAGAGGCGCATCGGAATCGTTGGACAGCTCTGCCGCAGGTGCATTGTCCTCCTGGGCCTCTTCTTCTTCTAAAGGGTATCAGAAAATTAGTTTTATCCAATATACTAGACACATAGATCGCTTTAGTGGGCGACCTGGATTTACCGTGAGTCATGTTCAACGAGCTTCGCAATCGATCGATGGTAAAAAAAAAGGGGGGCAGAAACAAATACCAATAAAAATAAAAACCAATGGCAACGTTTTTTTTTTCGATTCAATATTTTATTTGATTCTATTTTTTGCTTTTTTTGTCAAGTTTTTCTTTTCTTCTTCTTTTGTTGTTTGTGGTCTTAATAATTACTAGTATATAACAATATCTCTTTTTTTGTAAGATTTTTCATTCTGCTGGTCTTGTCAGCGGTTTTGCTCTTAGATTTACAATAATAATAATAATATTTTTCTCATGTCTCTTGATCTGGTTTACTCTTCCTCTTTTCTCGGCTTACACAATCATTAATCGTTAATAAGTTCCTTTTCAATTGCTGTGTTAGTTCATGTGTGTCTGTGTTTGGTGTGTTTTTTGTTTTTGTTTTTGTTTTTTGTGGGTGTGTCATATGTGGTTTATTTATGTATGAGGGCGTGGCATTTATATAAAACTAGTAAGTTTCTTTTGTTGCTTATCAAATGTCAATGTTGTATATATATATATATATATATTGTGTATATATTTAGTGGTTTTTTTTTTTTCTTGTATATAAATTGTATATATGATTTTGTTTTTTGTTGTAATTGCTACGAATCGATTTTAAACGCTTGATTTTTTGCAACTTGATCTCAATGTTCCATTTGATTTTCCCTTTCGTTTGTTTTTACATCCCCTACTACTTAAATATCATATATAAAAAATATTGCAACGAAATAGCTAAAATTTCATGGTTTTTTATTCAATTTCGTGTTAGTTCTTAACCTTCTTCTTTGTTTTGTTTAGTTTTATTTTGCTTTTGTTTCGTTTCGTATCTTTCTATCTTCATTTTGGACACTAGAGTTTCAGCAAATAATTTGATAATCTTTAAGCGACGACTTTATCATCTCTCCACCCATTCTGCTTGTATTTCATTTAGTTTGTTATATTATTACTTTTTATTTTACTTAAGGAAGCTTTCGTAACACGCTTAGAGTTGTCCTAAAACTAAAAGCAAACAACTTAAGGGGCCGCCATAGCTGTGATACAACCATTAAGTATATCATTTCTATTAGTCCTCTCATGGTTTTGAGCAATAACTAGTCCAAAGCCGCAAATAATATAAATAGTCTCTGTCTTTCGGTCAGTACGGAGAATGTCCCTATAGGTGATTAGTTCTCGATAGAGTGTTTACAGATCGGAAAGGTGCGGTACGGTTCGGTAATGGTACTGCTGGTGTTGGCTACAAAATAAACGCTACGCACGCGAAACAAAAACCTGTGTATAATTAAAACACAAAAATATATAACAAATTAACTAGTTATCGATAAAACAGAAGAATTTTTTTCTACACAAGCCGTTTAAAAGTTCAGTCTATTGTTTAGAGGCACGCCCGCATGCAACACCACCAAAGGGATATATAATTTACACACATTTTGCATATTTTGGATTGGGTTTGTAAGTTTAAAGGTGGTTAGAAGAAATGGTTTCTGTATAATATAGTTCTAATAGAAAGTTGGCTAAACCAATTTTTAGATCATAACTGAAGTTAAAAAGAAACAAACACTGACCAAAGATTATAATCATCACTTTTGGTAAGAAATTTTCAATGAAATGATTGAAGACTATATTTTAAAAATCCAAAGTACAATGTTTTCTGGAAAATATAACAGTTCTAATAACAACTAGATCAAATATTGCAAAAGATAGAATCCAAATAGGCCTCTGTACCACCTAGTCATTTTACTTCCCCAACCTCATATGCAAATGATTTTCAAGTTTGTTTCTGTGGTGCTCTCTCTGTTTCTCTCAGTGTGTCTGTCTGTCTATTTGTCGGTTACGGTTACGCTTTTCAAATGTGGTCATCGTAGGCCTAGGCAAACATTGGCTCAATATCAGTTAACTCTACTCGCACCCCCGAAGATCCCGATCCCGGTTCCCATCCGAATCCCCATCCCAAATCCCACTGTGGATCCATGGATCCAGGACCTTTTGGGGGCACGTGCAGTCGGCGGCAGCGAGGACACTTTGTGCTGGCCCACTCGCTCGCTATATCTCTCTCTCAATCTCTCCTTTCTCTATACACAAATCTAAAACAAAAGCTATGCCCAAAAATGCAAAAAATTTGTTGATGAGTGTACAGTGTAGTGTAGTGTGTACATGTGATTTCCTTTTGTTTTTGTGGATTTTTTGTTGTGTGAGGTGAGTGTTTGCCGTTTGTAACAAATGTTAAACAAAAATCAAGAATAAAAATAAGAAGAGTCTAGATTAAAAACGAAAAACATACACGCTATATATTTAAAAGTTGATAATAATATAATAATAATAATAATTATTACACACAAAACGCAAGGAAAACCAGGTGTTTTCGTTTCCGTTCTCATTTTCATTTAGTTACTTAAGCTGCTCAATATGCTCAACAAAAAATTAAGTCTACAACTCGTATATAATTTTTTTTGCTTTCGCCGTTTTTAAAAATATTGATTTTGTTTCCTCCTCAACTCGTCTTCTTCTGGCTTGTTGTTATGTATATAGTTTATATATGTATTATATATATATAGATGTAGAAATCGGAGGGCAGCAGAACTGGCCCGCCGCCTACCCTCGTTTTTTTGTTTTTATGTAATAAAAATTATTTTACGCGAAAGTTTGTATTTTTTGTTTAGTTTTTGTTTTTGTTAACATAATTTCAACATTTTTTTGAAGGTTTTTTCTTGCTTGTAGTACAATTTCTTTTAGAAGGTTTTTGTTGGTGTTTTTGTCGGTTTTGTTGATTTGTTTGTTGTTGCATCATCATTTGTTGATTTTTTTTGCATTTTTACTATAATAGTTTGTATTTATAATAGTTTCTTGCTTGTTGTTTGCCTTTTTACATGGGGGATCAGCGGATGGTCATCGAAGTGGTCCCAGCAGGATCAGTAGCGTGCCTCATCGTCATCGGTATTGGAGTTGGAGTTGGACTCATCGCAGTCCTCGTCTTCATCGTTGGATTCCGAGCTGTCCGAACTGTCATCCGAATCACTCACATTCTGTGGATGTTGCTGCTGCTGCTGCTGCTGCAGATGTTGCTGCTGTAAATGATGTTGCTGCTGCGGATGATGATGCTGCTGCTGTGGTTGTTGCTGCTGGGGATGGTGGCGTTGCTTTTGCGGCTTCTGTTCTATCGTCTCGACAGCGTGGTGCTGTCTCCTCTGCTGCTCGGCCAACCTGGCCGCCGCCTCCGTGACAGCTGGATCCGGAGCTGGAGGCGCCACCACTTCCGAAGACGCCACCGCCACCGCCGCCGTTAAAGTCTTGTCATAGTCCATCACCAGCTGCTTGATGTGCGCCAGCTTGGCGTGCAGGTAATCAAAGCGCTGCTTGTCCTCTCCAATGGTGCGATCGTTGTTGATCCGCTCGTACTCGCACACAATCTGCCGCTTGATGTGATCGTAGTCCCCGTAGCCGTTGTCACAGCGCCTGGCGCTCTCCAGACGCTCGGATAGATCCTGGAAACGATTGCGCACATCCTCCACCCGCGTCAGCAGCTTGCGGTACTCATCGTAGTCGCTCTCGAACTCAGTCTTGTAGCGCCGCCGCACCTCCAGCGTCTGGATGGGCACGTATTGGCTGAAGTCGTAGCGGGGCATGGCGGATGAGTCCGCATCCGCGGTGGATTGGGCATAGGCATGTGCGGCAGCGGCCAACTGTTGCGTGGGCGAGGGATGCTTGGCCTGCTGATGGTAATGATTATTAGGCTGCTGCTGCTGTTGATGTTGCGCCTGCTGCTGATGTTGCTGCTGCTGCTGTTTTTGTTGCTGATTCTGCTGCTGCTGGAGGGACGATGATCTCGAGTTGGAGGAGGCAGAGGGTGGCGGCACCTGCTGATAGCCAGAGTTGGAGGCACTAGAGTTCCTCTGCCGCTGGCCATTCGATCCACCACTGGGTCCACTGCTACTCGTCCTCTTCTTGCTGTTGGAGGCCGCATGTTGCGTGTTATTGCTGTTGTACGAGCCATAGTCGCTCTGCTGGGGCGGCATGCGCTGCTTGCTGGATCCCGATCCGGAACTGGATCCGGATGCAGCAGGTACAAAACTGGCCGCCAACTTCGGCGGCGTCGTCGAAGATGAGGGGGCGGCGGAGGCGGATGAGGACTTATTGCTGCTGCTGCTGCGGTTCGACGACATCGTCGCCGATGTTCGCTGCCGATCCTGCTGCGTCTCGTAGCCACTGGAGCTGCTCGAATTGCTGCCCGTGGAGTTGCGCTTATCCTTGTTGCCGCCTCCTCCATTGCTGGTGCCCGCCAAAGACGAGCTGCCTCTCCTACTACTACTACTGCTGCTACTAGTTCTCGGATGATGCTGCTGCTGTTGCTGCTGCTGATCCATCGATTGCTGGGTGGCCGCTGCCGTCGAGCTCATAAACTCCTCCATGTTGTCCAGCACATTGTAGCTGAGGTCACTAGTGCTGTGATCATCCAACGGACCCGGCTGCCTTTGCGGCGGTGTATACCGATTACGACTGGATGAGGAGGAGCCCAGGGACATCGGAGCGGAGTACGACGTGCTTGAGGGCGGCGTGTCCTTCTTGTAGTGACTGATGCGCTGCTTCTTGGGCTGAACAGTGCTGAACATAGTCTCGTCGTACTCGAGGCTAGTGCGCTTCAGGCCACCGCCGCCGGCTCCACCACCGCCGACTCCGCCAGGACCGCCATTACTCGACGACGGCGGCGGCGGACTGCCCGTGTGCGTCGATGTTGGACTCTGGCCGGACGTCGAGCTGCCCGCATCCGAGCTCATCGGAGGCGTCAGGTTCTGCGGCTTGCGACGCTTCAACTGCTGCACCTCCTGCTCGCTGAAGAACGGCCAGTTCTCGTCCACATCGTTCCACATCTGGCGACGAAGATTGTACGTGTTGTGCGACATGGTGCTAATGTCCATGAGTATGTTGGTTATCTGGTTGCGCTCCCGATCCCGTATGCCCTCGTTCTTCAGCCGCGCAAAGAGCTCGGGCTTCTTAAAGGCCTTCAGGGCCAGCAGATGGATGAGGCGTTCGCGTATGTTGCGCCTGGACACATCCGACATCTTATTGCCGCCCGACGACTTGTTATTGGCACTCCTGGAGGACGAGGAGTTGGAGTTGGAGGAGGTAAGGCCTCCGCTTGGCATCTTGTTGCGTGAGGAGATGGCTGATGCTGATGCAGATGATGCTGGCACACCTGATGATGCCGTCGCAGCTGTTGCTGCTAGTGGCATGGCGTCCCTTGGCGAGCTGCCGCTCAGGTTATTGTAGCCCTGCGAGATGCCGTTGGCGAATGTGGAAGCTAGCGAGGAGGCTGCACCGCCGCCATAACGACCACCAGAGCCATTGACTGTGCCGCTGGCGCCCAGCGTGCTGGGATTGGGCGAACGCGAGGCAAACACGTTGCTGGAGGAGCTGCTGGATCCTACGCCTAGGCCATTAAATGGCGATGAACCTAACTTACGACTATGGTTGTTGCTATTAAAACTATTGCTGCTGCTGCTGTTGCTGTTGTTGTTGTTCCCACTGTTGTTGCTGTTGCTGTGATGATGAAATGCCGTCGTCGTCGTCAAACCAGAATTAGAGGAGTTGGAGTTGGCGGATACGGAGGAGGACATGGAGGCTTGGAATGCTGATGGCGGCTTCTTCACCTTACGCCCGATATCCGACTGATTCGGCTTGATCTCCCTGATGCACTTGCTCTTCTCCGTCTCCTCGGCAATGGCCATTTTTGTGCGTGTCGTATCGTAGACATCGTCATTGGCATGGATCCGCATTCGCAGGGTGACCGCTCCGAGGACTCCGAGGTTCTGTTGCTGCTGTTGAACGCACTCCAGCGTTCCCTCCATATTGTTGATGGTGAATCCAAACTTGCGTCCACCACCACCTCCTCCTCCTCCGGAGGCGTCGCTACCATTGCCATTAGCATTAGGGATGCCATTAGCATCCGTCGCTGGTCGCGGGAACTGGATGACGCCCGTATTGCCGGCAAATTGGATCTTGGCCCGCTGGCCGGGCTGCAGGCGCTTGGCGTTGTCATCGCGCTGATATTCCTCGATCGCACGGAACGCGGAATCGGTGAGCTTGACGATGATGTACTCCTTGCTATCATCGGTGTAACGGTGGCTCTGGGACATTCCATAATTGCCGGTCGATAGTGCATTGGGCAGGCATTTCGTTGACGCAATCGAATTGGTCATAACGTGCGCGCAGCTAGCCGCCAATTAGATAGCAATTAGATAGCCCCTCGATCGTTCCCGGATGAAATGGATGATGTCGATGATGATGATTGGAAGGTTGGAATTGGAGGGATGCTGTTTGTTGGTTGGGCCAGCTTGGAAATCGTGGAAGGGGGCTGGTTTGCTTGGAAGGTCGGTCTGGTGCTCTTGGTCTGGTGCTCTTCGTCTCTGGTCTCTTGGAAAGGACGGGAAGCACTGGAAGTGTTAAGTCGATCCTGGAAGCTGCCTCTCTGAAAGTCCCTCTTCTCTCCTGCTTCGCTTGTTTTGTTGTTGTTATTGTTGATTCTGTGCAAATATTGCTTGATTTTAGTATGGTGTAATCGTAACTGAAATTTACGTTGTTGCTAAGACGTGACACACATGCACAGCCCTCTCTTTTGCTCTCACACACTGACACTAACTGCCTATCGTTTTGTTTAATATTTTAATTTTTATTTTTAAAGCTCAGCTTACACAAATATATTTGTTGTTTGACGAATGCAGTCTCTCTTTGTATTTGCCGTAAGAATTTCACTTCCGTATGGCAAAGGCAACAATTTTTCTTTTTTTGATTTTACACTTTCAAAAAGTCATATACCCTCTCTCTATCTCGCTTGATTGGATGGCTTGCTCTTGGCTGTTGAGATTGTATGTGTGTTGCTGCTTGCAAATAACACAATTTCTTTTGTTAAATAATATGGTATTTTAATTGGGTTAAGGTAGGCATGTATGTTTGCTCTCTTGTCCCTGTTTTTGTTGCTTTTAAATGTTACTCAGCGAGGGTGACGGGTGATTGCGGGAGGTGGAGACTTTTTGCTACTGCTCTTCGCTCTCCTCTCTCCCCGTTATGGTTGTTGTTTATCTTGCTGTTTTTAGTTGAAAGTGCCGCAAGCAGCGACTCCTGCGCCAGGTGTCAATATGTGTGTGCGTGCGTCTGTCGCGTGCTTGCTCTCGCTCGCACTCGCCCGATTGTCTGGATGATGATGTTTGTATGTAAGAGAGCACCTCAGGTCATAAGCAAAATCAAAGACAGCAAATCAATGCTCTGCTCTGCTCGCACACGTCCGTGACTGGCCTCGCGCTCTCTCACTCACTCGCTCGCACGGCGATCGCAGCGAGCGCGTTGAAGCGAGACAACTGCTGGTTTGATTGGCTTCTCCGCGACTTGTTGTTGTAAGTGTTGTTGTTGCTGCTGCTTGCTTGATCTTTTTTCCTTTTCGCTTTTTCGCTAAAAATCATCTGTGTTTGTACGCTGATTTTTATATATTTTACTGGCACTGGCTCTGCTTATTATATTTTTTAGTTGCACATAGATACATAAGTACGTTTTGGTCTATCGCAGTGTGCACACACACACACGCGCAAACGTTTCTTTGCACACGCACACGAAATTTTTAATTTCAGCACTTGAATATTGTTTAATTTTAATGCCTTTTAACCACTTTTTGTGCTGCGATTGTATTGGCTGGCTAGCAGACACACACACACACACGGATACGCTTTACGCGTTCGAGACACTTTTACTCAAGACATTTTTGGTTAAGTGAATTTTTTGTACTTTAGTTTGGAACTGTTCTGAATTTGATGTTGCTGGCTTCAACTTATTATTATTATTATTATCATCGAGTGTGTGTGTTTTTTAAGTGCACTTTAGTTGCCTTCTCTTCTTTTGTGGTGCGTCTGTGTGTGCCAAGGTATCTTAATCAACGTACAAAAGGTATCTGCTAAATGAAATCGAAACGAGTTGCTTTCAAGTGGTTGCCCGTCGCTTGCTGTTGTTGTTTTTGCTGCTGCTGCTGCTACTGCTCTCTTTGCACTCGTTTATTACAAGTGAGAGAGACAGAGCGGAAGTAGCGAGTGGGGATCACTTTTCTCTTAGTCCCTCTCTTGGGCTCTCTCGCTTATTTGGTATGTACGTGCCTTGTATCACTTGCCGTATTTTTAGTTGTTTTTGTTTTTGCCAGTCAAGCACAGCGAAGCAGAAATGAAAACAAGTTTGCAATCTTATAATGTGCGCACTTGGCACTCGTCAATCTCTTAGTTTTGGCTCTCTTTTTCGTAGCGAGCTAGTGTGTTTTGTGATCTGGGCACGTCTTAGCAAATGTAACAATGAGAAACAAAAAAAAAGAGACTAAGTTAGCTTACTTTTGGTTGTGAGTTTTGTTTTTTTTTTCTTTAGCTGGAAACTGCAGGCGGCACTATAAAAAATAGTTCAGCTTAGTGGCGAATTATGAAGCAAACAGGCACGGGCGTACTTACAATTGATTATGTATTCTACTAAAAAACAGATTGCTTTTGCTGTTGAAACAGCTGTTTTGCCACCTGTATGCCCCCACACCACGTCACACGTAGTAGTTTGTGCTGCTCTCCCTCTCTCGCCGCTCTCTTTCTCGCTGCAGCGAAAAAGTTCCAACAAAACAGAAAAAAAAACAGCGCGACTGCAACAACAACAGCCGTGTGCCAGTCGCAATCAGCTGTTTTGCGCTCTATCGCTCTGCTCTCTCGCCCAGCAGTGTTGGTAAGTGCAAATTATCGGTTGGATGGTATGGTATTGTCTGGAGCTATCGATCAATCGATAAAGGAAGCAACAGCGAAAAAGAGCTTTAAAATTTGGACGTTGACTTCTTGTTGCTGCAAAATTGTGACCAATTTTAGTATAAAATCACGTTTATGGCTTTACTTTGCATACTTGATTGTTGATTGTTGCTTTTCAGTGTGTGTGTATATTGCTGATTTCCGCTCCGTTGTCTTGTTGCTGCTCCGACTTAATTTCACTCTACACTTTGGTAATAAAAAAAATGGAAAACACTTTAGTATTGTATTTGCTTTGCACTTGAGATAGTTTTTTCCACTCTCCCATTCCGCCTCGAAACCGTTACTTGTGCGCGTTTGTCTCGTTTTTTGTTTGTTTTGCGTTACGCGGATCGCGATCATACGTTTTTTGCGCTCAGCTGTTTTGTGTTTACGTTACTCGCTCTCGCCTCTCGTTGCGCTCTCGCTCTCTCCCCTCCGGAGCTCTCACTCCTTCAAGGTTCTCTTAGCAAAGAGAGTACGCGAGTGCAGAGCACGCGACATTCGGATCCGTCATATTTTTACCCCGTTGCTGTTTTCGGTATTTTTTGTTCACTTTTGACATTTTTGCATACGAAAATTTTCCGCTTTCAGGTAGATTTACCGTAGCGCAGATCTTCTAACTTTTAAATGCGAGTGGAGTGTGTGTTAGTGTGCGAGTTTGTTTTGAGTGTTCGCATTTTCGTCGTGCCTGTTTTTCTGCCTTTACCGTTGATTTTTATTTTTTGCCTGGCTTATCTCGGTTCTGTTTGTTTTTTCGCTAGGAATTTGAGCCGCACACAAACACAGTAACACGTGCGTACATGCATGTACGATTTTGTACTGGTGTATTCCACAAATCCACAATGAAACTATATTTCTATTTCGTTTTTCCCAACTGTCAGTGGTTAAAGTAAGGTAAAAACCGTCAAGGGCGCACACCTGCCCGTGGGTGGGAGCGAGAGGGCAGCTAACCAGCCACTGGCCAAACAAAAGGGAGCGACAAGATAGGAAGCTGTCATCTTGGGTCGGTAGGAAAAACCCAGAATACTACCAACACCTCACATATTTAACTGTACAAAACTATGGTTGACGAGAAAAGGACGCCCATAACTGAGGTTTAGTGAAGTCATTCAAACCCTTACTTTGCCAAGGCTTACACAATGGGTTCATTATACCTGAACATTTTATAACTATGGCATCATATAGACTAAGCATTTAAAACATTATTACATATATTAATATAAAATCATTCATAAAACTTTAATACCAAAAGTATTTTCTTCAGGAGATTAATTTCCTTGAAATGTGGTTTTTAATACTCTTTTAACTACTGAAAGTACTTCTGAGAGATTTTCCAATGCCACAATTCTGGTTTATTGATACAGCTGTGATCAGAATTATACCTCTACAAATTCATTAACAAATTGCTAAACTATGGGGTCATGGGGCTAAAACTTTTAAACAAAAACAAATCTAGAGCATCAACATATTAAATATCTACAAAATTATGTAAGTATATTTACATTTTCTAGAATTTTTTTACATTTCCAAAGTTGGCACATCAACATCAATATTTTCCAATCCACCTTTAAACTCAACAATAAAACTGTGTTTCAAATATGTGAACCCATAGAAAACAGAATGTAACAGTAACTATAGTTTTTGATCCATTCTTAAAATAAAACTGAAGCCCTAGTTTCCTCCCCTCAACTGTAAATACAATGCTGGCCCTGGACGGTATTGTGTGTGTGTACGACGCCTCGGCAACAAAAATTCGCAGTCAACTTTAAACAAATTAGCCGAAATATATTCAACTGTGCATATAAAACAACAAAGAGCCGCAGCACAGCCACCAAGCAACCATAATACAATTTCAAGTTTCGTTTTTGTTCAAATAGCATTGAGGGAAAAACGCCGAAAGGCCAATGCACTGATACAACATACGTACAACACAAAGTGAGGAGAGCGGAGGGACGTGAATGGAAGGAGGAATAGGAAGAGGCGTCACAGGGTCAGGGGGCAAAGGACGGGCAAAAGGAAATGCGAGGACCTCGACAACAGCTGGCCGCAGGAAACAGAAACAGGAGCCATGAACCGCCAAGAAACCAGGGAAAAGGAAAACAATGAACAAGTAGGAAGTGCACCATCCAGACCTCAAGATACTCAGTAATCAGTAGACAACGGAATCTAAAGATTACAGAAAATAATCTCAATGAGATCTGAAAATGTTCAAGTGCTAACGCATGACCAAAATTAGGTACATTTCGACTAAAAAAAATTCATTCTTGAGTGGTTTTCCATAATAAATACATAGATAGTACATGAAGACGAATGAGTTTCGATAAATATCTTTATCGTATTATACTTCTTTTAATAAAAATATTACATAAAGATTGTGTTCCAATCAAAATAGATTTGTTTTATAAGTAATTTACTTATAGAAAGCACCCACAAGATGATAAACTAAACTTGGACAAAGGAGAACTAACTCTTTTGTAGGGTTTAGAATCAGAAGTTTTATGTGAAAGCTATTTAATTTCGATAAAAATCATTGATGTAACACAACTCACTATCTTTAAGGGGTGAAATACTTGAATATTGTCAAAGCAACATACCCTCACTCGCTAAGAGGTGTACTAAATGGAAACTTTTTGAAAAAGATGGAAGAAAAACGTGTGCAATGGAATGCTCAAGAGAAAAGACAAACGCACACGCTCAAGAACGTGAATACGCCTTCCTAAACACGCCGTACAATCCATTCCCCTAGGTGCATGCACATACATATGTAAAAATGTATAATCTCACGGGTGAAAAATAGATGACACACTCGTCGCTGTGGTTCTACATATATTTAGGTACATACATATATTCGTAGACCGATGCAGCTGTCAGCTGTGCACGAGCAGTTTTCTTTGTGCTACACTTCTTTACAGAAACGAGTGATAATGATAACAATGCCCAATGAGGAAATGGGGCAAGAACAACAAGAAAATCATCGGGGACGGGCCTCTCAGCTATGTTTGTATATACACACAACACAGCTATAGGGTGAACGTTTATTGTATAGGAAATCTTTGCAGAACGCCAGGGTTGCCACCTAACATCGCTTACAAATACCAGAACGATCGATCGATAAACACCGACCGACGAGGGCTAGACCATTAAAAAGAAAATCCACCACTTGCTATCGAAAGAAATGAAATATGAGCTTCTTATCAGCAAGTGGAGAAAAGTATTATAAAACAACTTATAAGTATAGCAATTGCAGGGAAATATATTATTGCAGAATTGAGTATTTTAAAGAACAAACGAGAATCACCTTAAAGTATTTAATTAGAAGAACATAGTATCTTATCTGGCAAGAACAGCAAGAGCAATTCAGACGTCAGTGAAAATTCAATCTAAATAGCATTTTATAGAAATGAAGTAAACTAGTTTTATTCACAATCAAAGGGGTAACTTTAAATTACATGTAATAACAACATTTAGAATTCTAAGAAATTTATTAAATTCAAGCAAAGTGATGTGAACGAGTAGTACATTTGATGTACAGTTCTTATCAAGAAAAACCAGACTTTCAAATTAACATTCAACCTTATTTTATGATCCATACTAATACAAGAACATTGCGTTGAAAGAATTTTAACTACCCAGCACAAAAAGAATTTTAATGTTTTATTAATTTTGGGCAACAATTAAAACATTTAAAAAGCTATAACAAAGAAATTAAGCTTCGAAATTCTCGGACTAATTCGTATTTCTCTCCATAGTTTAATTCTTGGTAAACTGGAAGGTATTTACATCTAGAAAACTGAATTCACGGAAAACGCTTGAAAGTGAAAATAGGAACTGGTCTGATTGCAGTCCCAACTAATTAACAGACTTTGCACCTACTAAAAACGAGCGAAAAAGAGCAATGGAATACAAGTGTGCTTGAAATGCAACCGACTGAGAGCAATAACGACTATACATAAGTAATCGGGCGGCCAAGTATGTACACCCCGTATGTGCGAGTGTGCGGAGTGAATAATCAATTGCCGGAGCAGCCGCGATAATATAATATGGTGGCAAACCGAATGGGGCTCGGGCTCGGGATCTGGGGATCGGACAGTTGGGGGACTTATGGGGCAGCGATTCCGGGCAAACCGACGCACGCCTTATTGGTAATTGCCCACACGGGAATCCCAAATACCTTGGACATTGTACGACCAAGCATACAAACATATTTCGTATTGTTTTCCCCCCTTCAAAGCGGTGCATTTTCAATACTGAGAGAGCGCAGATAGAGAGAGATTCAAATCGCATACCCACTTCCATTTTATATAATAAAATGGCAATATTTTAAATTTTATCTTCGGCGCTGGTCTATTTATAGGCCGAAAAACAAAAAGACAACACAAAAACGCCAGAGAAGGCACCCACAACACGAATGCGCTCTCAACGCCAGTATTTATTTGTTCGAGTGTGTGAGTCACACATCAAGTGGGAAATATTTCACGATAAAAAGTAAAAATAAAAAGGTGCTAAATGCCGTCGTACCTCACTCGAAGTTCAGATGCCGTTTGCCGGGGTTAATTCCCAACAGTGCTGCACCGATTGTCGATTCCGGTTATCGAGATAATCGGAAAAAAATCATCGAAATAATCACTTCTATCGAACAAATACAGTGATATTTAAAAAAACTCAATAATTAACTATTAACAACTAAAGAATATTGCTTAGAACGTTTATATCTATACAATTATACTAAATAAAGGCTTTAACCCCGTTACCGAACCCAACAAAGTGAACTTCAAACGAACTTTTGTGAATCAACTGAGTTTAACTACAACAATTACTAAACCATAAAATGTCATGTATTATTATTAAATACTGACGTAAATCTTTAAGCGTGCTTCCTTAATGGTTCTCAAGAAAACAGTTTTTTTTTGCGGGAAAAACGAAGCTCGTTTATCGGGTGTATCTAATTGTACTTTCTGAGAAAACATTCCTATGATGCACACAATTCATCCTAAGCTTATCTGAAGGCACTGAACTCTAACAAAAGATATATCGAAAAAGAATAAGCAGAATAGGGCATATAAGTATATAATAAAAAGTGCGTACATTGAACTTGTAGCCTGTTCAAGTTCTCGATGCAGAATGACAAATACAAAAAGGAGCTAACAGCTAAAGAATCGAAACAGTTCATTCAACGACCGATCATTGCATAATTCAGATTCGCTTATTTTATAGCGAAAAAGTGAAACGGAAATGCGTAAAGCTTCTAAATACTGATATGTGAATAAAGAGTTGAGAGTGTTTCGGATCGGAAAAACATTGACCGTGAATTGGCACAAACTGAAATTTCAACATAGGCAATCCAAGATTAGATTAGGGACTTGTACTCGTATGTGAGCTTATTTACGTGACAACCTTATCTCTACGCGGAAAGGCGGAAAAAAAACGACCACATCAAATCGATGGATAAAGAAAGCTTTTAGCAGCTGTTTGTAGTCTAGAAAATCAAATTCAAACAAAACGAGAAACCATTTTGAAATGTCTTTTCTACGAAGCTTATATTAATGAGCCTAGCCTCTCTCCCGTAGAATCTGGTTTTTTGGGTCCAGCCAACAAACGAAAACAAATGAGCACGACAATAAAAAGCAATTTAAATTTAATCAGAAAAACACACGAAGATGTGGATTTGAAAACAAAACTACCGGCACACGTTTTTAGTGCTGTTGTACGTAGCCTGTGGCAGTAACAGGTTTTCTGTTAATTTTAGAATCCAGACTAAAGTAGGGTGACTAGAAACTCACAAACTTTCGAATAAATAAAAAGATACATAGGCCCAGAAACAGATACTTTTGTATGAAAAACATTCTGCAAAAATTATCCAAGCTTTCTAATTTACTACAGAAGACTTTTCAAGGAAAATAATCAGAATCTTTGTAATTAGGTTAAGTGATTGGCATGATTATGTAATTTAATACAAGGTTTTAATAATTACATATAATTACTATATCATAATCTGTCATCCATAAATTTTATTTATTACCAACATGTTTTGTAATGGCTTAAGGCTTTTGGATAACTTATGCCAAGTCAAAAGTCAGAATACATCTTTGGCCCCAAAAGAAAAAATCCCCTTGTTGCTAACTGGTCTTCGTTAATCGCTTGACTCTATTCAATTTAAATAATTATTAAGCCTCTTTTATTTTCAGAAAAAGACGAAAATAAATAAATAAAGCATTTTGAATGTGGTGGCGTCAATGCAAAACTTAAATAAATTTCGAATAAAAACTTTTTATATGTGGTTTCGTAACGACAAGTCGGCAACTGCGATATCTTCAGCACAAATACATATGCATGCTAATCAACGAAAAGCAAAAAAAAAAACATACAAAATACAAAATAAAAACCACCAACAAACAACACCCAAAAGCCCGAAACACTGGAAAACCCGATACGAAACATGGCCAACTGAAGTGGCGAAGTGGAGGATTGGTGGACTGGTGGAGTGGGGTGGCGATGGTGTTTCGACTAGAAGGCTTAGCCCCACTCGAGAAAGAAACACAACCAGACCAGAGATTCGGATTCGGATTCCGATTCGATCCGATCCGAAAAGCGTCGAGAGTGAGCGGCGGTGGTGGTGCTCAAAACGTTCGCTTCGAAAACTTGTCTTCCCAGATTCAGTTTGGATTTCTTCTTCTTATTGGAGCAGCAGCGACAAGACGAGACCGACAACAACACCAAAATACAAAACATGAAAGGAGGGCCCCCAAAAGCCGAAGTTGGCAATACACTTGAAGTTTTCTTTGGAAAAATACCAGAGGCCGAAATAAAATTAGCAGTTATATTGATTGTCCCAGTTTCAAAATTAAACATATGCATTTCATAACGATATCACAGGCCCACTTTTTAGAAAAAACTTTTTTCATTATACTTCAGTTGAACATTACAGTGAAATTGAATTGGGTTTCACGAAGAACTCTTACGATAAAAATCAATGGTTCTGATAATAGTCGATAATTATCGATAATAACGATATATCAAACAACTAACAATAACAAAGACAAATTTAAAATTCTAGTAGTTTTCTTGCCTTGTAATGCTGGTTAAAGAACTATTAAGTGCGAAAAGATCTCCTCAGCTGGGGGGCCCACTCCATAATACCCCGTTTCAGGGTATTAATGAAAAAAAGAAACAACAGCAGCAAGCAACAGTGTTGGCAATTTGGAACTGGACTACAAACGGACTTGAAAGAAACCAAATAACAACAATAACAACCACCAGCGGAGCGAGTCGCGACTGCTGACTGGTATTTCCCTCTCTGGGTTGTTATGAATCTGTTGTATTTGCTGGTGGAGCCGCTGTCTTTCATTATAAAAAATGAATATACATTTTGTATATATGATGTTCATATGCAGTATATGCGTACAAACAAACATACACACTTTTAAACGTATCTGAGGCTATATCTTTAAAAATTACTGAAGGTCAGTCAAATTGAGCGTACAATCAACTTTTTAATATTTCATTTAACCAATTTTACTGCTGCTTTATTGGGATGTATTAGAGTTATGACCAATTTATAACTTCATATGTCAGTTGCATACAAGTCTTTAGGTATTTCACAATTTGGCTTTATAAATGTGATCCATAAACATTCTTAATTTCTTAAAACTTATAAATTAACAATTTTAACTGACTCTTCAAATGCAAATGCAACCAAGATATAGCTTTAAATCTGTACAAATTAACACTTGCTCGCTTGCTTTCGCTTCCTTTCCCTCTTTTTACCCAATTAGTAGGTTGCTAATTGAACTTCCGCAGAATACTCCACTTCTATGGCAGCCTATTGTGTGTCATACACACAAACCAAACACAAAAAGTAGCTTTGAAAGCGTCGGCTTTGGCCATCACCTTGCCTTGTCTATATGCCGGAGTTTCCGGTATCTGTTGCCATTTTATTTAGCCAAAAAATAAGCCGAACCAGAGCAGTAGGCAAAAGAAACGCAACGACCTTTGCATATAAATAGAACCTGAAATCAGCTTAAGACAGAAGAACCTCGGGGAGTCCCAAAAAATTTGACACTGACAAAGCCCCAGAAATCAATTGAATTTTTAAACTGTAGCACTCCGTATTACAACCTTCAGAAATATGTTTTCTGAATTATTCATTAAAAAATTTCTAACTGACAAAAAAGTTATCCACATTTCGTTATAAAGTGTGTCATAGGAAACAGTTTTATTTTTAATACTAACAAGAAAGTCCATATATATTTTGAAATACTTTTCAGAAATCTAGTAGAAATAATATCGATTTCTGAACTACCCATTCATATTCGATGTTTTTAAATATTTGTTTGGAACAAATCGCTTATGTTGCGGTTGGTTTTCTTATCAAGTACAATTTGTGTACCATCGAAACGAAAGACCCACCGAGTTGGAAAAGAGACAAATAACACAACAAAATAAGCACTCGAGCTGCGCTTTTGTTGAGTTGAGTGCACAAAACCCAAAACCCAACCCACAAACGAGCCATTAAAAACCTCGCGCGGTATGCATGTGAAAAATAAAAGATACGAAAAATTATATAAACATTATAGGCGAGCGTGAGTATGACTAAACAGACCGCAAGCTACAACTACACATACTTATAACTACCGCCGCAAAAGCGAGAGCAACAGCACAACACCAACTACAACTGTAGCAATATGTAACAAGTCGGGTGGCAACAACTATAGCAACTACAACAACTATAACAACGAAAACGAGGGCTTGCTGTCAACTACATACTTTTGTTTCTGTCTCTTGAGTTGGTAATTTTAATGTTGGTTTTTTGGGTTTTATTTTCTGGTTTCTCAGCTAGCTATGCAACTCTATGCCAAAGTTAACGACAGATTACAATAATCACAAAAATACAGGTGCGGTTAAGAAGATATCTCTACTCTACTCTCTACTCTTTCATCGTGTGTATAAGCTAGGCTTTATATGCTTCTAATTGGATATTACGAAAGCATATATCTCTTTAACCAAGTTAAGTAAAATTGAAATATTTGTAAAATTTTGAACTTGAAAAAGCTTGTTTTAAATATTTATAATTATCGAAGTAAACGTCAAAGTATGAATCACTCCTTTCTTCAATTACTCATAGTTTCTGATGTTTTTATGCACGCCCTTTCCGGAAACTACTTCTGAAACATACTCAAATTCGGAATTATGAATAATGTATTAACAATGTGATGTTATTTTTAAGTTACTGAAAGTATATACTTTCAAGCTGTGAGAGCATTTAATATAACTACATCACATCAAGGTGAAATTTAACATTTCTAAAACATTTTGAATGTTCTGTGCTAATACTCTGACCGCCACTGTAACAACACACCAACAAACATACAGTGGGCGCTGGCAATGTCGTTGGCAACAATTATGCACCTTGTTGGCAATGCTGAGCTTATAAGCTGTCGCTTTGGCTTAGCGAGCAACTAATTGGCTAATTAGACAATAGTGAAGCGCAAAAAGAGCCGATTGAAGCGATGATTTCGATTACATGCGCTAATACGATAAAAGAACAGGAACGACCCAAATCCGCTGGCCCAAGTACGCATGTTTTGGCATGGAAATGACACAAATAGATTCGCGTGCTGGTTTTTTTTATATTTCTTATTTTTGCGTTTACACACCCAGAAAACATAAACTGTTACCATAAACCTATTTTCGGTGACAACCCAAGCACAAATTTGGTTTTGCAGTGGGCCGCAAGCGGAACTCGATAACAATTACAAAACTATTGAACCAATTAAGTTAAGGCTAGTAAAACAACAAAAACAACTCTCTTTTTGCCGCAGAAACAACAACAACAGAAAGAGCAAAGCAATGAGAGAGCGAAAGAGAAACAGAAACGGAAACCACAATGGCGACCGATGGCCAGCGAAAAACACTACGAAACGAAACGAGACAAAAACGAAACAGCATTTGCCATATGACCATTTATGTTTCGGCATTTTCGCTGCGTAAACATTTCCATATGCAAATATTAATGACCTTCACTTTCACCTACCGTGCTAAAAAGCATTGAAATGCAGAAGGGATTTCGATGTGATAAGTGGATATGTCAAGAAGGAAATTAACAAAAATTCCAATCAGAACGATCAAAAAGCATTGGAAATCAAGTCTTACATATACATATTATAAGGTAAAATCAAAAGGAATGCCCTAATTATAATATCATTGAACAAAATAATTTGAAAAATAACAGTCATTGCAACGATTGATATTTTTTTCTAGTACCTTGACAACCCTAACATAATCTCATGCTCCTCCACACAACAAGCGAAATTATCGATAAATGTGATCAGTTCAGCCATTGATAAGCTTCGATTAATTTTCACATTCCCATACAAGTACATTGAATGATTTAAAAATAAATTAACTCGTACACAATCTGGTGCATGTGTATTTGTTTGCGGTGGCGGTGACTTCCAAAAATGAGAAATAAAAAACAAATATCAATTGCTGCCTGAGTTTTGTCACAGTGTGCGAGAGTGATGTTTGCATGTGTGTAACAATAATCTGAAACAAATAGCAACAACAACAACAACAACTGAAGCGCGGCCTTCTCTCCGAGCGACAACAAGACAATTACTGTAAATAGGTAAAATAACAAGACAACCAGCAGTTGCACAAATATTAAAAAGCACACAGACAACCATGTATGAAGCCAAAGGTATTACGGTAATCAATGTCAAATGCTGCCGATTTCGTGTGTGTGTTTGTGTACTCCAACCGAAATAAACAAAAACAACACCTTTGGAAGAGCGACACACACGCTCCCATCAAAAAGCAAAAAACACACACAGAGAGAGAGAAAGATAGAGCGAGGCGAGACAGAGCGAGAGATACGCGTCAAATGTCAAAATCGAAAAGAACAACAAAAACCACAATCGACCTAGTGTTGTTCTATTTGAGAGAACGATTTTCGAACGAAAAATGAACGTATTGAAAGCTAAAATAATATTTACTCTTCCTATTTGTGTTTCATAGTTTTGTGGATTTTAAGCGCAAGTAAACTTTTCGAAATGCCATCACACGTTCGTATACTCTTACATATATAAGTATATATATATATACATGGCGGATATAAAAAAGCACCACTTGTTGTTGGCTTGATTGAATGCAATGCGTGCGAGCGGGATGGCATGTTGTAGTTCGCCAAAGCAAGGTAAGATCGCCACCAATACACCGGCAAATGCAGCTCACACACATAAAATATACTTTCACTTCTTGTATTGAATTTTTGATTTTATTTGTGCTGGCGCCACGTTGTTGTTGTTACCTATGGGTTTTTAAGGCAGATTTATGCAGTCGGCAACAGCGAAGCTTTTGATGAGAAAATTAAAATCGAAGGGGCGATTCTGAAGTCAAAGGGAAAACGGCAAGAATGTTCACAGAAAAAAATCGGTTGAAGTGGGTATTAAGTTTAATTCAATAAAACCAAGGTATTACAAGAGACCTATCTTCAATCGACAATTTTTCTTTCAGTGTGTATGGGCAAATTACATACGTACGTCACTGCGGATACCTTCCGCTCCCTCGCACACCCTTTTATTATTGCATTACTGCATAAATACATAGTGACACTCACACATACACCCCCTCTCTCTCTTTTTAGACTTTTGCAATTTATGCAATGTCGCATTATTGTTTACTTGTAGTCGAGTAACCGTAAATTAGTCTGCGGTATTAAAATAAACACTTTCATCAACTTGAGCACAATGTAAATGGTAGAAAATTGATCGCACAACCGGCAAATGGTGAAATCAAAGAGAAATGGCCAAGAACAAACATATGCTGACGTCACGGAAATGGGAGGATAGAGGGAGAGCGAGTTTAGCATCCTACCGATGTATCGAAGGATAACGGCAGCTGGGCATACACCCAATTAGAATAGACACGGGGTGGGAGGGGGAGACAAGTGTTAAAATTAGACACTCTGAAAAGTGCTCCCACGCTCATTCTCTAGGATAACTTCCACACGCACGCACATCATATACATATACATACACACGCCCACAGTGCAACAGCGTCAAACGGAAAAAAGAGAGGCGAAAATGGGGGCAGGGACAGAAGAGAGAAGAGTCATAGACAGAAGATGAACAGCTGCGAACGAATTAACATAAATTGTATGCGAAATTGGGGTGGATAATACTGTTTTTTGTTACACGGCGGCGGCATATTGTTTATCGGTTTTCGTACAAACTACTACATTCCAGCAATTTCCTTGCAAGAGACAGGACAGGCACCCCTCCACTTACACTTCCATTGTCACCCTCTCTTTCCCACACTCTACTCTTTTGCTGCTGCTTCTTCTTCTTCGTCTTACTTGTGTGTTGGCATATTTTGGTTAACTCGTTTCAAAAAGGCTATTTCTTGGTTAATTTGCAGGCACTTTGGTATGATTGTATTCTCGTAACTATTATATTTTTGTTTTTTCTTAAACTTAATTAAGACGCGTCGGGGTTTTGGGGTTTTTTTTCGTTGGATCGACAAAGACGGGGCGACGGCGACGATTTGCTGGAGCGCGCGTGCATAACACGCACACATACAGAGACGCATCTACGCGAGAGAGTGGAGAAATCAATCAAGAGAGCACGTCGGCGAAGGGGGGAGTGGAAAAAATCACATATGTATGTGCGTCAGTGGAAGTGCGACAAGATTTTCCACAATATTCCACGCATCTTTGTTTCGTTTCTTTGCATATGCACATTATTGCTTCGTTTTCTTTTCGCTTTGCTTTCTTACACAATATACATATGTATATTTCGTGATAATTTCAGGTTTTTATTTTTTGCACACACTATTCTTTTTTTTTTCTTTCTTTCTTTTTGTTGGATATATTACGCACTGGATTTCTGGCTTTACACTGGCAAACGACAGGCGGTGGCGAATAATGCACGTATTCCCCTTAATTAACAGTTTTCGCTACAATTAATAGTGTAATCTGTTTAACAAAAACTCAGAAATCACGTCATGGCTGCCACGTCCAATCCAAGCAACAATAAATGTAAATGGTGGCAGACAAGGCTGGCTGGGGATTATCGACGGGCCCCAAAAGGGGCACACTTTTAACGGTCATACTGCTGCACAGCGAACGGTCACACTGCATACACGGTCACACCAGCCAGGTGAACAAAATACAAAATTCTTAGTTACTAAAACGCGTTTTACAATATAAAGGTAAATATACATCACTTAAATGCTAAGAATCTTAAATTATAACTTAACTCTATGCAACTATTTTCAGCGTTTCCCGCTCTTATTCGCCAACCAAAACAACCATGTAAAACAGATGTTTTGGTGTGCGAGCGGGACGGCTATATGACCTGCATTCGCGAATCAAGAGAACACAAAAATGCAATAATGAATGTGTGTGGAATGGAGGAGGCGCAAAAGGCCCGAAAAAAACGCGCCACACATGTAAAAATTTCACCAATAGCTGTAATAGTTATGGGTATTTAAGGGTTATAATGAGATAGATGGCCAATAGGCATTATCGGCAAACAATAAACAACTGGAGAGGGGCGAAGCACGCTGCGCGGCATTGCGGCTCTTGAACATGACCACGGTTCTTCTTGGGCCGACAAACCAACATTTTTTCACGCCGACTTTTGGCCGACTAAAACAATGCACTCACCCTGAAAATTATCGTCATTCTCTTCCTCCGATGCCATTGTAGCAGTCGAATGCAACTTTAACGCTATTTAAGCACACGAAATTCGCTTAATTTCCACAACAAATAATTAAGCACACACAGACACAATTTTCCAAACGAGAAAAAAATAGACAGTTGTAAGCGGCTTCAACAAATATGGCGGAGCGGAGAGCGACCGCAAAGTGAGAGAATCAGGGTTGCTCGCCGATAATACGAAGCGAAACGGTCAGACTAACAAGAATGACAGCCCTGTCTTGCCTGAATGTGATTTAACCACCCTGTACTTAATATCGCATCGAAGATATTTTTCACCGAAAAAAAATACAACTTGTGTGTTTTCGCTTTTGCCATATCGCTGATTTTAAGAATCGAGGAATGTGCCAAGCCGTTGGTAAATAACCTTTACTTTTTAGTCCGACCCATTTAATTGCGAATTATGTCGTCCATTATCACGCGCAAGGATGGCGAAGTCGACGACCGCAAATTGTCCAAAAAGCGCGCTGCCGCCTCCGAGTCCAGTGGTGGTGGTAGTGGCGGCCTCGAAGCGCCCAAGAAATCCCGCTTCGATGTTCTGGACAAGAATGGTGGTGGTGGCGCCGACCAGAAGGAGGCGGATGCTGCTGCGGCTGCAGCCGCCTCGCTCAGCTCCACGCAGATCAAGCTGATGATGGCCCATGCCCAGCGGGAAATCGAGGAGCGCAAACGGGCACTGAGTAATCTGCGGGACAAGGATCCCCTGCTGGCGTCGGTGCCCTCAATCGGCATGCCCGTGGCCCTGGCGACCCAGGCGCTGTCCAAGAAACCCACGCCCGAGGACTCGGAGAAGGCCAGAAAGATCGCCGAGCTGCAGGCGCAGATCAGGGCCAAGCTCACCGGCAATCTGGCCAACTTGATTCAGCCCACGGCAGTGGCGGCCGCAGCCGCAGCCGCTGCCCAGGCGCAGGAGAGACCCAAGCCGCTGATCCTCGACGAGGAGGGACGCACCGTGGACAAGAGCGGACGAACCATCAATATACCCACAGTGACACCCACTCTCAAGGCCAACATTCGTGCCAAAAAGCGTGAGGTGTTTCAGCGCCAAACGGGCTTGGGTGGGGAACGCGGTGAGTCTACCACCTCTGCTCAGGATGAGGCCATCAAATACTTTGACGACCGCATTGCTCAGAAGCCCACCGTTCGGAACAAAAGAACACTACGGTTCCACGAGCCCGGCAAATTCCAGCAGCTGGCCGAACGGATGCGCATGAAGAGCCAGCTCGAGCGGCTGCAGAATGAGATATCGCAAATAGCCCGGAAGACGGGCATCTCGTCGGCCACCAAGCTGGCACTGATTGCTCCCAAGCAGGACATGCCCGACGATGTGCCCGCCATGGAGTGGTGGGACTCAGTCATACTCACCCAGGATCTGGAGACGCTAGACGAGGCAAGCGGTAAGATAAGCATTCGCCAGACGGCCATAAGCAACCTCATAGAGCACCCCACACAAATGAAGCCGCCAAGTAAGTAACTGACTACAGGTTTTCTCAATAGAAAGTAATTACTTCTCCTTTAGATGAGCCCATGAAGCCGGTATATCTACCCGTTTTCCTCACCAAAAAGGAGCGCAAGAAGCTGCGTCGGCAGAACCGTAGAGAGGCTTGGAAGGAGGAGCAGGAGAAGATCCGCCTGGGTTTGGTTGCCCCACCAGAACCCAAGCTGCGCATATCGAATCTAATGAGAGTTCTGGGCTCGGAGGCCGTGCAGGACCCCACCAAGATGGAGCAGCATGTGCGCGAGCAGATGGCCAAGCGACAGAAGGCGCACGAGGATGCCAACAATGCGCGCAAACTGACCAGCGAGCAGAAGAGCGAGAAAAAGCAGCGCAAGCTGAAGGAGGACACCAGCTGCGGCGTCCATGTGAGCGTGTATCGCATCCGGGATCTGCAGGACAACCAGAGCAAGAAGTTCAAAGTGGAGACCAACGCCAAGCAGCTACAGATGACCGGCAGCGTGGTGCTGTTCCGCGATTGCTGTGTGGTCGTCGTGGAGGGCGGTCCCAAGCAGCAGAAAAAGTATCGCCGACTTATGCTGACGCGCATCAAGTGGGAGGAGGACTTGGCCAAGGGCAACGACGGCCAGGATGTGCCCAACTCGTGCGTGCTCGTCTGGGAAGGAACTAGTCAGCGTCGTCACTTCGGCGAGATCAAGTTTAAGATCTTTCCCATGGAGAAAATGGCCCGCGAGTTTTTCCAAAAGCACCAGGTCGAGCACTACTGGGATCTGGCCTATTCAGGGGCCGTCCTTGAGGCCTCCACGGATCAGCAGTAGGAGGTCGCTGACAATGCGACAAAAGGCATTTTAGGATTTATTAGTTATCGTACTACAAATTCACTTTCGAAAAGACACAAGTCTGAATTGATGTTTTGAAGCGCTACGCATTTGATATGTTATCTGTCTCGGAGCCTTTCGGAACCTTTTGGAAGTGCAAAAACTATTAATAAATGTTTTTTCAGGACTCTAAATATTTGTTTTATACATTTTTTGAGGGGTACTATGTATTGTTCTAACTATTGTTATTTCAATACGTTTCGTTATTCTAAGGCTCTTTAAGCTTTTTATCCAGAAATTCAAATCAAGGAGCAGAGAAATGATTGACACAAGAACACTTAAAATGTTCAAAAGGTAATTATGCATAATCGAAGTTTGGTTAAACATGTTTTATTTACAATTCATTACTGCCTCTTAACGTAGGGATCTTCCTTGATGTTGGTCTGTATAAACTCGTCCAATCCTTGCGTCTTTAGCTTGTCGATGATTTCCCCCAGACGCTGATCTTCCAGAGCACTCTCGGCCTTATCACGCAGATCCAGTTCGTGCTGCTCCTTGACCCGCTTGGTTAGGACACCTCTGACCAGTTGTCGCAGCGACTTGTTGATGGCCAGCGTGTAGTCCAGCAGCTTTACGTAGGTGTCGGGAGTCAGATATCCACACTGCTGGCACTGGGCGATCTGTTCGAAGGTGTCCATGCTGGCAGTGGTGATCAGACCATGCTCCTGAACGGACGAAGGATTGGAGATGTTGGCGTTGCCGCGATGCTTCAGTAGCAACTCCTCCACCTTGGCGCTGGGGTTAAGGAAGACGTGATCCCGATAGATACAGGCCGTGGAGGCTGTGATTAAGTCGTATGTGGATATGCCACACTCCACCAGGGCCACGCCGCAGCAGTTGATGGCCGTGCTGAGTAGGCAACCATCATCGTCCAGAATGAGCACCCGAATGTCCAGCTGAAAGTTGAGGAACTCCGTCCGGCAGACAACCGGTTCCATGGCCTTGGTCAGCATGCTGCCCAGGTGGCGCTCCCTTTCCGGCACCGATTCCAGATCCCCGGTGGCAAAGGCCGCAAAGTTCACATAGCAATTGACCACACCCATGTTCATCCTTCTGGCGCTGGCGCGGATTAGCTCCTTTGGCGGGGCCACAATGGCCAGGACCTTGGTGTTTCCGTACTCCATGTACGCGGAACCCCTCACAGTCGTCAGAACACCGGCGCGAATGACTGTAAATGGATATATCTTCTTAACATTTAATATTATTTAAGGATGTTCGAGACCAACAGGTGTTTCTGGGCTCCAATTTGGTGGGTTCCTTCGCCGGTTTGTCTAGATTCTCGAAGAAATCTTTGCCGTCCTGCGGCGTTGTGTACAGCTCCTCCTCGATTGAGGCGCCATCGAGCAGGCTGTTTTTGGTCTGGGTCACCCTTAACATTTCACTTAACGACCTTTTTTATTGAATTTAAAAAATAAACAAACTAAATTCACATGTGGGCCGAAGAGTATGGCCTTAGTTAAGAGTCTTTTGATTAAATACTTAGTTGGTATTTTTTGTGAAACTGTAGTATATTTTAGCTTGAATCTGTTATCGGATTTAAAATAAGTGCGCCAAAAATCCTTATATCATTCTTTTCACCCCATTTTGCACTGTGCCTTTTGTTTTTTGGGTAATAAAGATTAACATTAAGTTAAAGTTACAAAAAAAAAAGGAATGCAGGATAAGGCATTTAAATTAAAAAATTTAATTATCTAAAAGATGAGAAAAAGTATTATAGAGTTGTTTAAGTAGTTTAATAGAAATATTATATGCAAGTAAACATTATAAATTTCTTTATTAGATGGAACAAAGATTTCTTTTGTGTTTGTTTTAAAAAAAAAAATGCCTTGTGGCCTTAAGTTTAAATTCCGCGGTAAGCAGTGGTTCTTTTGCCCCCACTGGTTCCCCGGAACCAGAACAATGCATCATAATCGGGCAATTTGCAGCACTACCACTCGAACCAATATCGATATATCGCTATAGCAGAACAGTAGGGTCCGATAGATAACAATGTTTAGAGAATTTTGGGTAAATATGTGATGATTTTAAACGACGCACAACAAACGAGCAACTAAACGAGCGGAAAACCGAGAGGTCAGCGCCAGGCGGCCCCAGGAGAGGTAATCCCAGAACCCAAAGAACCATATAAATGGCCAGTTACAATAGATCTGTGGACTGCTGACGTTTTTGGTCTTTGCCCAGGACTATGGTTGATAGTAATTATAGAACAATTAAAACCAACCTCGACCCCCCTGGCTTTGCCCTGGGACTTTTGCAGGTCGCGCGGAGGACCACGTCAACGCTTCGCGCTTTTAGAACCCAGAAGCCAGAATCCCCAAAAAAAAACAAAAAACACACCCACCCGCACACACACAGAATGTATTGCCTACAATGCCTGTTACCCGTATTACTGATACCGAAGCCCACGAATCCGGCCCTAATGGAGACCCACGTGATGTTCATAGTACTCTACCTGGTGGGGTTCTTCCTGGAGCGAAAGCCCTGCACCATCTGCAGCCTGGTGTTCCTCACAGCCATCTCACTGATATGCTACAGTGGCGTCGGCAACTGCATCTTCTGGGGCAATTGCGAGGGACATCAGTGTGAGAATGGCTAGAAGATCATCTCCTTAGTATCCCCATAAAAAAGAACACCCCCCGTAGTCATAGTCAACGAAGATATGAAGAAGTGCTAATAATAATAGCAACCTTATTATGGAATTACGTTCGCGTTGTTACAGCTTTACATCCTAGAGAACTAAAAAAAATGAAATATGGGAAAAATTGGAAGAGCCTGCAGAGAGAAAGGATATAAGGATAACTTGACTAAATCGGTGAAATCAGTGATACAAGTGATGAGTGAGTCCGACCAGGAACAAAGATTGTATGTTTAGATCCATTATATTATTTCCAGCTCCGTATTTGTTTCCTTCATAATGCTTTTGGTTATGAAATGTAATTGTGTATTCAAGCGTGTGTGTTTTGTTTTTAAGGCTTAGACGAATTTAGTTTTAACGAGATAAAGCGCTACGAAACCGTATTGTACATCACCCACCCAAAAACCCCTACCCTTAAAATCAAAAAATAACCCCCATCTTATCCAACTGTCAATGCAACTTACGATTTAGTCATAATATATATTATACAACATGTAATTGTAAAGAAAATTAAGGAAAACAAAAATCACTGCGCATCCTTGCTGAGCCAACGGATGCTGCTGACATCGGTTGTTTTTACCCTGTCTTGAGCACGTGCAAAATCTGTATATACAGCATATAACTTACACTGATCAAAATATATATTGTATACATCAACTGTAAACGAGAGACAAGCACAAAATGTAAAAACGAGGAAATGCGGGAGATTAAAACATATACAAATAATATTGTTCGATTTTTGCGAATTTGTATGATTTGAGCGGTATCCAAAAAAAAGGAAAAGAGTGGAGACGTATTGAAATAAAATTAATTGATGCTAATGTTCGAGGGATGTTTGTTTAAAGTGCGGAAATATGGGAAAAATATTCATATCTTCTTTCCCACATCCAAATAAAAGACATCTTATTTTTGATTTCCAATTATCCACAATTTTATTCGCTTCAAAATGTGTGTGTGTGTATATAGTATATATATTTATATAAAATGTACAAATTTCTCTTTGCTGTCGTTGGTTTTGGAATTTGATTATATCAAGATCAGATCAGCTTCAGCATCGTTCTTAATTTACTAACAACTACACAAGACAATTAATTAATTAAAAATACGATAATAATTTATGTACAAAAATTTCCATCGGATTTATTTGTGTGAATGTGAAAACAAAACTGTAGACAATTCAAAAAAACTGAAAGAAAAAAATACTGGGAAAACTTTCACGATTTTTTTCTCAGGAGAATATTTGTTGTTGTGTGTGGTTGTTGTTTTTGAAAATTATAGAAGAAAGCCAAAAGAGTTTGAAAGTAATGTTTAAAACTTTTTGATTTAGTTTTGGTTTTTACATATTTTTTAAAGCTGCTTTAATATGAAAACAAATCGGGACGACTCGGTTACAATTCAATAGATTCCTCGGGTTGGGTTAGGGACATGATGACTCCTTCTCCTAGTTCTTCTCGTTCTATCCTCTCGTCGAGATTCGATTCGCACAGCAGCAATCACAGGCGTGGTCTTCTTGTTACTTAAACGGAACGAGGCTGAACGACTGTAAAGGAAAAATGGTATGGTTTTTATTAAAATTATAATATTAAACGATTATTTTAATAACTGCTTTGGGAATAACAAAAATGTGCTTGTACTTGAATAGATTTTTTGCTCATTTTAGCTTGGCTAAGTCTTGTCATCAAATTAATTACATTTGTCAGCATCAATTAATGGTCTATTAATTCCTGAATCTGGTTTTAAACGCAATTCAAGTTTTTAGAATACCTCCGGATAAAAAATGTGACAAGATGATTGGAAATCAAGACTCTAAATTGTAAAATTGATTGATAAATATTTATAGGATTCATTAATTTTACGAAGATACATTTATGGTTTATTCATTAATTATTTCGAGTTAATGCGTAGTGAGATGTCGAATGCATTTTACGATTATAAATAATTTTTTTTCATTCGATTTTAGACTTGATAAATAAAATTTTTTTTTTTTATCTAAATTACTTTTAACCCCTATGTATACAATACATTTATAACCAGTCAAGGATGTTAATTAAATTATTTCACATATGTATCTATTTTGTGATATTGATTCTAAGTTTTACGATTCTAAAAAAAAATAATAATGTGATAAGAAATCGAATATTTGCTGTGGCATTTTCAAAGATTAATCTGAAATAAGTTGCATCTTCATAATAATTCGAAAACATCTTATCCTAAGAACAAGGAAAAGTTCCCTAGAATAAGTACTCACAGTGAGGTCGCTGGGACTCCTCGGGGACAGCGGCTCCTCCCTCCATGGCCTGCATCATGGGCACGGGGATACGGACGGGCTGGGCCAGACTGCGGCCGTAGACCATGCGTCCGAAGGGCAGCTGCTGGGGCTGGTCGGGCATGGGCGGGGTCATGGTGTCACGTGGCTGCTCCGGCAGGGGCTGCAGGATCAAGCGCTGGATGCGGATCGTGGGCACCTGCTGTTCCTGCTGCTGCTGCTGCTCCTGGCTGACCTCCTGGTGCTGCTCCTGCTCCTGCTGATGCTGTTCAGGCTGAGCGGTCTGCTGCTGCTGCTGCTGGTGTCCAGTGGTTTGGGCCTCGGTGGTGGCCTGTTCGCCGGAAGTGGAGACATCCTCCTCACTGGCTTCATTGGACTCGGCACCCTCCTCGGCGGCCAGACGACGCAGTTCGTCGGTGATGCGATCCTCGGCCATACGCTGGATGTTCTTCAGGTCCTCGGCGGTGATGCCCACACGCTGCAGGGCCATGCCGAAGGGCATGGGCTGGATCTGGATCTGGGGAGTATCACGCTGTTCCTGACGCTGCTGCATCTCCTGACGCTGCTGCATCTCCTGGCGGTGCTGCATCTCCTGTCGCTGCTGCATCTCCTGGCGCTGCTGCATCTCCTGACGCTGCTGCATCTCCTGACGCTGCTGCATCTCACGGAAGGGGATCTGGACGGGCACATCGTCGGCCACATGGATCTCGCGGAAGGGGATCTGCTGCATGTGAATGCGCACGGTCTGGACCTTGGGCATCTGTGCCTCCTCGGAGGACTCCATGCGCGGAGCCTGCATCACCTGGGGCGGCATGGGAGGACGCATGGGCAGCTGCTGGAATGGAGGCGGCAGCTGACGGATGATGATGGGTCCCTGCTGCTGCTGCTGGTGGGGCAACTGCTGGTGCATCTGCATGGCCGGGGGCATCATTCGCTGTGGCATGTGGGTCAATGGCATCTGGTCGGGCATGCGGCCGAAGGGAATGGGCACACGCTGGAAGGGAATGAACATGGGCCTCAGTGGCTCGCTATCCTCATCGGAATCTTCCTCCTCCTGCTCCCGCTGGCGCTTGGCCTCCTTCTCCTCCTTGTCCTTTTCGTCGCCGCCGTCGCAGAAGATCGAGATTCGCTCGCCAGTGATGCGGGCCTTCTTGGGATCTGTGGTCAGGTTGACTCCGAAGGGCAGGGCCACCGTCTTCGAGGGCGAGTCGACAATCTCTTCGGCGTGCTTGCGCTCCACCACACAGTTCATGCGAGATCTGCAAATATTGAGTGAAATTTTATAGGAATTAGAGATCACTGGGCATGGTATATCTTTTATGTAATCCTTACTTCTTGTTGTTGCGCAGAATGGCGGCAGCCAGGTCACTCAAGTCCAGCTCGAGCGGCATTTTGCCGGGGTACTTCTGCAGCTCATCGGTCTCATCGCTGTCGGAGTAGGAGTTATCCTTGTCGGAGTGCTCCTCGGCAGTCTGGGTGGCCTCGGCCTTGCGGCTCTCTGGCTCCAGGTTCTGCAGTTCGGAGTCATCGGTGGATCCAGCAGCACCGCCCAGGAGAGGCTCAGCACGGGGAAGTTCCTAGAAAAATTAGAAATAAGGAAAATAATATTAAATACCTTTAGAACTCGATAAAAAATCCAATTACTGTAAAGGGCTTTTAAGAAGTCTTCGATCTATTGTTCGATATTAACTCAAATTCTAATAACACCCATAAAATAATTGCCAGTAGAGGAAGAGCATGCAAAGACATGTTGGCATTTTGTACGCTGTGTGTGTGTTGGCAGAGCGCCGGCAGAGAAAATGGGTAATCCCAAGGGCTGTATGCGCTGCTTCCGCCGGTGACCACTGATCCATATCAGTAAATGGATCACTATAAAAATTATAACATTTTTTATTTGTCCTCTACTTTGGGCACTATACCTACATAAATCTTCAAGTTATTATTTGCTTACGTCATTTTCTTAACCAAGTTCAATTAGAGTACCAATTTTCAGTCTTGAATCATCTTGTGTGCTTTTATAACCCTCAATTTCCCATCGTTTTGTCGCAAAATTGACAAAGTTGTTTTGGAGCCCTCAACTGAGAAACTGAGTGTCTGCTTTGAAGTTTGTTTTCGTTATTTTCTTGACTAGTTTTTGCTGGTTCTCCAGCCAACTCTTCGTGCTCGAAACAATGAGGGGCACAGACCAGAGGTATAGACCCGACCCGGTGGCAGTCAGCGCAGTCAATTGCCCGGCGGAGATGTGACCCCAACCTACATACGACCGAAACACAAAAAGTAAAATGCCATCGGAATAAACTTGTTGTTGCTGCGGCTCGAGAAGTCTAAACAAAACAGCGAAACGGCTGCGAAATTACATAATCGCCGAGTCGAACAAATGGTTATATCTGAGCTTGGATCGTGGCTGGGCTTAAAATCCATGCCCAGCCGCAATGGCCACAGAAATAAACAAACGAAAAATAAATTTAAATTATATGAGACTCATTAATGCCGAGCCACGAACGAGGGGGAGTTGGGCGGAGCTAAAGCGGGATAGGGGTATATTTGGATAATGCTTTATATATCCGGTTTGTGGATGGCTTATTTTGCAGGTCACAGTGTACTTGACAAAAGAGGTTGACATTGAAAAGAGACGAGTTCGCTTCGGATTTCCTCTAGACAGTATTGTTGAGTTATGTTTTTAATTTTGAAGACTCTTCAATGATTCTTAAAACAGGAAGTTTGAAAGTCTTTAATTGTATTGGCCATTCACTTTTAGAAGTTATATTATGGTAACAATTTTAACTGGGCGTAACCCAAAGAGAGGTTCAAATAATCTTAAGAAGTTAATCATCTCGTTCTCAAGAATTCACGGTTACTAAAGAATCGATAAAAATAGGAAAGAAAGGAAGAATGAGACCCACAATCTGAAAATCCTATTGATCTAAAGAATTCGCGGTCATTAGTAATACGACTTATTTAACAATTATTCTGATAGATACATCATTTTATAATCTTTTTTTAAATATAATTCAGTAAGTATTATAACAATTCATCTATTGCCAGTTGTAAAAGATATTTCTCAGTGTGTAAAATGTAGGGAAATTTCCACAGCTTCTCAGAAAAGCTGCTCATCTCCATCCAAAACCCGTCTATATGCAAAATGGACCAAAAACTGAGTCAAACCTGAGTCATGTGCTCTCCAGGCCAGGTGACACACAATCCGTAAATTTCACTTTAAATTCATATGTGTAAGAGAAAAACAGCAAAAAAAAAGGTAAAAACAGAAAAAACTGAAATCGAAACCAAACCCAACCTGTTCAGCAAACAAGTTCGCTTGATTTGATTGTTTGCTTTTCGCATTCGTAGTTGATTTTCAAGGCCAGGAGCGTCTGGAGATAAGATCTATTATAATACAATGAGAACATTTGTCTGCCCCTAATTTGTTTATTGCGCGAGGGACATGTGGGGAATGGACTCGAATCGACTCGAGTCGCATTAAGATGACAATTAAATGATTACAAATTGAACGCTCGGTGTGCAATTAAAATGACAGACAGCCGTCCAAAGTCAGACG